GCCTGTTACTCCGAAGTTTACCATCACTCACGAGGTATGGGATGTCGTCCTTGACTTGTAAGTGCACGAATCCCTGCTTTGGTGTAACCATGAAAGGTAGTTTACCAGGCATCCAGTGAAATGCATAACCCATCTTCATGCGTCTCCTCCCTATTGACAACACCGTGGGTGTCTCGTCCAACACGTGCGGCTCGACAGTCTCGTCCAACTCGTCCACGACTATCTTGGCCACGTCGGATGTGGAAGTGGAACCATTTGCGGTCTGGAACACAATCTCATCATCATCTTTCACAATATCGACACCCAGGCTCTTTGCCTTGGCTCGTCCAATGAGATCATGACCACATCCGGTGTCCATCAACCATTTCACCCGTTTGCTGATGCACGTTGACATTGCGAACACATTCTTCGGCAAACCATGCTGTTTCTTCCAGTCGACGGCCGATTCCTTGATCTCGTCCTTGCTCCGATCATATTCGAACATTATGGTGCTCTCCTTGGTTACTGGGAAGTAGTGTTTCCTGTATATGTCGTCTACCACCTCTCTCAGTATTTTCGCTCTTATCAATGATCGTTGGACTTGATAGGCTGATAATTCTCGATGATCACTGCTCTTAAACTTCTTCTCGTCGACGTGCACGTACTGATAAGGCTCATTCTCATTGTCCTCATAGCCGTACCACTCCCCTTTTCGTTCCCATTGCCTTCTCTCGTCTTCGAGATAGGTGATCTCCCCATTCTCGTCGACATCGAGTACTTCCTTGAACCATACCATTTTCTCGGGGATCTCGGACTCGCCAGACCATCTTGATGATTCGCTCATTGCGTCGTCATCATGCTCGTGGTAGACAGTCTCGGCTTCATCCGGTTCGACCTGGTCAACGTCCTTCTTGAAGCTGACCTTTCCCGCAGGAGCCGATTGCTTCAAGACTATCGCAGGCATCGCGATGGCCCTTCTTGCAATAGCTGGCGCTGCGGCTTTGGCGGCAGCCTTCGACTTGGCTTGCGCCTTGTCGCTTGACGTTGCCGGAGCTGAATTGTTCTTGATGAGCTCGTGCCTATACTTGCAAGCACTCCCCTTGTCGCATTTTCCTTTCTGAAACGCGAAGCATGCCCCATCATCCCTCTTTGGTGATGATGATCTGGATTTGGACTTACCTTTTCCTTTCCCTTTGGGCATGTTCTCCAGCTTGTGCTCCGTCTTCTTGCTGTGGGAAAATGTGCATTCATTCCCTTTTACGCATCCCTTCGCTGCCTTGAAGTGATACCAACATGGGTTATCTTTACCTCCGCCCGGACTCTTGCCTCTGTCGCTGGCACCGTCGGACTTGCCGTTCTTGCCAGCGTGACCCTTTGCTTTGGCCTTTGGGAGTACAGGAGCAGCATCAGGTCCACTGGGTTTCCCCTTCCTGCCTTTGCCACCCTAATTCTCCTGTTTGCCAGTAGCCGGGGCTGCATCTCTGCCGCCCGACTTCATCATTGACTTGACCTTCATGTCAAGCATCAGGTCCTCCCGATCCGCCTTAATTTGGTGGTCGATCAATGCCAACAAGAATTCGTACGTCTTTTGAGGATGCTTGTCCGGCAACCTATGATAGTAGCCGAACTCCATCTTCTTGCTCCCTTTGATCTTCCTGTAGAGAATATCTCTGAGAGCCAACTTGCTGGGTCTATCTTCGCTCCTCATCTTTAGCAACAAATCATACCACTTGTTCCTGAATATAACCAAATTCTTGTCTCCAGGAAAGTCAAGGTTGAATAGGTGCTCGATGTGTTAGACAAGATCCGTTCGATCAGACGTCCTGAATGATTGCATAACCAATGCCACCAACTCTCGTCCCTTCACGATCACCCCTTGTTGATGTCGTAGTTCCGAATGTTGCGTAGCGTCGAGGTACACGTCTTTGGCTTCGTCAGGTGCTTGTTTTAACATGTTCTGCATGCCCATGGCCATTTTGATATCTATCGTAGCGAATCTGTCGCCGCCGGAGTCGCTCAGCAGATTTAGGTCTGGGTTTAACCCAAGAGCCTGATCCAACCATTTCGTCCATGTGTCAGTATCTGAATCTGCGCATGCGCTCAGAACATTCATCAGCAATTGCATCTTCCAGTTATCGAGTTGATGCATCTTTGGCCAAGCAGGAATGGACACCCTCTCGGCTTCTTTCCTCGAAATCCTCGGTCTTTCGCTCTTGATTTCGATCATCCCTCGATCTTCTGCGCCTCCTCCGTGTCCGATTGTCATCTTCTTCCTCTTCTTCTTCCTCGTCCTCTTCATCCTCTTCGTCGTCGTCATCCTCGTCCTCATCATCGGGTGGATCGTCCGGAGGTCCTCCTCCGCCACCTGTGAGGCTCAACTGACGTCGACCTGCCCCTTGTCTATTTCCATTGGGCGAGAATCCACCGTAATCCAATGGGGGTGTAGTACCGTTGTTTCCCCCTCCATCGCAACTACCACCAGTTGTAGTAGCGGATTGTGGGACATGCCCAACAACCCCTTGCATCTGGGATAGGTGTACATCGATCATTGGATCACCAAAAGACGGAAAGAGAACCGAACCTGGCATTAGTGACGAATTAGGGATCAGATTCGATGATGATGACGGGAATAACCCAGTCACCCTCTTGTCTACCCTAGTCGAATTAGCTTGGGGTCCTCCCTCAGCGCTTTTCACTACTGCTCGTTCACGATGTCCATCTTTACTGCTAGAGGCTTCCTGTGTCTCCAGCTTCTTGAGTGCTCGTAACTTAGTTCCTCATTGTCAGCATCGGGTTGACGAACAAAACTCTCTTCTTGCTTGAGCGTCGCCTCCCGATCCTTCAGTTGTCCCTGAAGTTCACGCATCTCCTCGAGGTACTCATCATACACTCCTTTAGCTGTCAATCTCCAGTACTCGGCCTCCTTCGATTTCTCGTCCATCGTGCACCGCTCTTCTTGTTTTGCTTCTCTGACCTGGGCTAACTCCAAGATCGCATCTTGACGATGACTACCCTCGATAGCAATCATCTGGTCCTTCTTCAACACGTCGGATTCGTACTGCTTGACGATCTCTTCCTTCTCGCGAAGTAAGCACTCTGCTCTCTTCGATTCTTGCTCCGCGAATGTTGTAACGTCGTTCAGTCTCGCCATCAGCTGCTCCCTGGAGTCCTCCATAGAGTACGTCTCGGGGCGTTTGACGAGTGCATGCTCCAACTGTGATTTTAGACTTTGGACCATCTCCTCCTCGTTGAACTTCTCGATAGATGTAGACGATTCAATACCTCTGATCTGTTGCTGATAAACTGATATTTGTTGTGAAGCCTCACGGTGTATCTGATTTGCATGTATAGCTGATTCCTGCGCGGCCGACTTCTCGCTTGCCATGTAGGATTTCATCACTGCAATCTCCCGCTTCTGCTCCATAATAGTTCCTTCAGCTTGTCTCATCTGTTGTATTATAACATTCGACTCCATGTCTTTCTTTTCCCCGTACTGATATGCGTTCATTTCCACCTTGCGCATCTGTTGGGCTTCCTCCTCAAACTTGCGCCATGCCTCAGCCATGTGGTGTTGGTGGTGACTCACAAGATGTCCCGATTGCTTGCTGGCAATCTCGCATCGTCTCTCCAGCTCCTGGATCCGGATGGTGCTCCCATAGTCTTCTTGATGAAGATTCGCCATTGCTGCCGACATTTCATCAAGTGTCTTTTGGTATTCCCCGATCTCCATCTCCATCTTGTTCTTTTCTTTAATTGCGGCGCGAAACTCTGCACTGGTGGGCGATTTAGATCTCCCACCTTTTGATGTTGACCTCACGCCCTTCTGCGACGTCCGTGGTGTCGCAGGCGAAGATGATGATCTTCTCGGCGGGGATTCTCTTTGCTTCGACTCTTGACGAACATCGATCTGCTTCCATGATCTTGTAGGGGTGGATATGTCGCTGAATAGCGCGGATCCTCCGCTCCCAGGTTCATCCTGTAAATCTGCGACCAATTCCATCACCGCAGGAAGAGCCATCAATCCATTGGATCCCTCTGAGCTGCCGTTCCCAAAAGTTGCAGTACTTGGGCTCGCTGAAGATGCCATTGTACCGTGTAGGCTATTGTTCCTTTATTGTCCCTGTACCCGCAATAAACCAGCTGTCTCTCTGCCCAGCGTAGAGCTTGTCGTTACGGCTGATAACCTGTCAAGAGACGGCAAGGTGACGTCCCGTGGGACGCTGTCCACCGAACCCTCCAGCTGTAAATACCAACCACGTAGAAAGGTGTATACGGTCAAACCGTTATAGCCGAACCCGTGTAACTGTTGTAAGGGAGAAGGAATAATAGTTACAACAGTGGTCCTGACAAATGCAGCGCAAGCGAAGTGTTTTCCGCTCTCAATTGCCGATCACGTATGAACGCAGCTTCACATAAGATCTTGAACCTCACTTGTGACTTGAGCCAAATGGCAATCAATGGAACCTTGTAAGCAACACAAACACGGACCTCAGAACTGCTTCCCAATTTAGGCACGGGGCCAGGAGGGTTTTAACAGAAGGAAGGAAGGAAGGAAGGAAGGAAGGAAGGAAGGAAGGAAGGAAGGAAGGAAGGAAGGAAGGAAGGAAGGCAGGAAGGCAGGAAGGCAGGAAGGCAGGAAGGCAGGAAGGCAGGAAGGCAGGAAGGCAGGAAGGCAGGAAGGCAGGAAGGCAGGAAGGCAGGAAGGCAGGAAGGCAGGAAGGCAGGAAGGCAAGACAGAAAGACAGAAAGACAGAAAGACAGAAAGACAGAAAGACAGAAAGAAAGAAAAATAAAGAAAGAAAGAAAGAAAGAAAGAAAAAAGGAAAAAAGAAGGAGAGAAGCAAGAAAAAGGGTAGAGAAAGAAAGAAAGAAAGAAAGAAAGAAAGAAAGAAAAAAAGGAAAAAAGAAGGAGAGAAGCAAGAAAAAGGGTAGAGAAAGAAAGAAAGAAAGAAAGAAAGAAAGAAAGAAAGAAAGAAAGAAGACACTTCCGACAGGCTTGGCCGCAGGATTCCCCCCGAGGCCTCGCGCGCCCAGGCCAGCCGGTCCCGAAGGCTCTGCTCCATCACCAAAAGACTTGGCAGCTGGAAAGGGGTGGGCGCTCCATGGCGACAATGTGTTTTGAAAGCGGTGCCGGAAATGAGTGTCCTTGCTCGGATTCTGTGCCTGCGACGAAGTTTGCTCGAACCCTGCGCAGCGAAACGACATGCAATGCTGCAAAAGACACGATTCAGGCGCAGGCCCAACAAACTCAGCGCTTGAAGACTCCTCCAGTCACTTTTTGCAGGAATCGTGCTCGCAACCGTGCTCAGACCTCCAGTGGGCGTCCATCCCTTGGGGAGGTCTGGACTTGCTTCTTTTTCTCTCAGAACGTGAGGACCTCCTTGAACAAAGCCAGCTCTTCAGCCTCCATCGGGCGATGTCCGGGGAATTGAAAAAATCACATGGTTCGGGGGGCAAAAAGACGCCCTTCTTTCGTAGGGGTGTCTTCAATGACGGATCAGCAAGTCTCATGGCAAGGTCCGAGCACAGGGCAAGTGGGCAAAAGGGTGCCAGGGGCCAACCAGCTCGTGACGTTGCGGGATTGGAGAGCCCAATGACAGCTGTAAAGCTTGCCGACCCAACAGGCGGTAGAGTGAGTGTGATCAGCTGTTGCAAGCACCCCGCATCTTCGTAGCTTCTTGACCCGCAGGATTGCGATGAGATAGATGTCATGATAGTTTGTCCCCTCTAGTGGGCTTCAAACCTGAGAAGAACAACTCGGAAATTCCAGGCCCAGCATCCGCTTGCAGACGTTGAGTCTGCGAGCCTTCATTCGCTACCAGGAATGACCCGCGTTCCAACTTTTTGTGGCGCGTACTTCAGACAAAAAGTTCTCGGAGTTCCCCTCCCCCCAAAAAAAGAAGAAGAGACAAAACAAAACGTCGGGAGGGAAGGAAAAGGAGGAGGGTTGGTTGCTCGCTTGGTTCTTTCCTCGCCGCTACTCCTCCCGATTCGTCACGCCTCCGCCTCGTCCAGAATTTCGGCCTTCGAGAACCCGGGGTTGGGGGTCCAAATCTCAAAAATAACCTGGACACGCCCAATCCCGGCATAACAGCCATAAGACGAGTGGGATTTGTAGGACCCCTGTACATTGGTCGCACTGCCGAATTCGGAAGATCTTAAGGGCATGTTGAGGTATTGGTTCTGGAGGTGGGACTTCATCTGTTTCTTCATATCTAGGATGTCTTCCCTTGAATTTGCAGTCTTGAAATGGCAAACCTTGAAAAGGGACAGCGTGCGCCTGCTTCCGGCCACTCTCCCACCTCGGCCATGATCAACACAACTCTGAAAAGAGGCTTCCGAAAAAATCTTACCAAGATGCGTCTGCGAATCTTTTTTTTTGTTGGCCGGGAGCTGCCTTGTGGGCCTGGTTGACAAGCAAAGCTAAAGGAAACCGTCACCATTTTGGACACTATCTCTGGATTTTGATCTCTGGATGTGAGCAACTGGCAAATTTACGGACCTGGGCAAATCGGCTCTAGTTTTTGGAAAAGGGGTCCCCACGTTCTCCCCTACTGCGCAAAGGAACATTCTTCAAACCAGTTTCCTTCGCCAGCATTGCCAGCATTCCTGGGGCGGGCGGGGGGGAAAGGAGGTCGGAGCAGGCGAGCGGGAGGGCCCTTTAAGCAGCTTGGCTCTCGGCGCTAGTCGATGTCCTCGATAAAGTTCGCACGGCTCCTCCCATGATCTCAGTACAGGTTTGTCTACCTTGGAAGGGCAATCTCGGTAAAGAAAAATGGGAAGCTTCGAACACAAAGCTTGAGGGTCACTGCCAGTCGCCTTTGATACCAAAGGCCGCACAAATAAGCGTCCAGTGTTTTGAGGATTTTGCGCTTCAACCTACGATATCTGCAATAGCCCGCTGGAAAGGGCGGGCGGCACCGTGCGCTCCCTGCATCATCGGGTCGACCCACCTGGTCTAGTCCACTGCCAACACACGATGGATCAACAAATCTCCCATGAACCTGCCACGTTCACCCACACGCACGCGCACTGAGTCAACGAGGGCTTGGTAAACCTGTTGAAATGGTCAAGCACCCCGCAGCAGCAACCGGCAGGGAGATGCGTGGTTTCTTTTTGGCCCTTGAGGGCCACGACCATTCCTGCAAGCACCCTACCCGAAAACTTCTTGGACTTCGTGGGATGTCTTGCTTCTCTTGTTGCACCAGGGGACGATCATGAGAGGTCCAGCCAGCGGAGGCGTTTTTGCTAGTGTAAACGCAAAAACTCGAACCCTTCCTTGTGTGTGTGTGTTGAGAAGCAGCTTTTGGATTCTGTGTGAGTGAGTCAATCCCCACCACAGCCAACTCAGGACTATCTGATATCGGTCCTTGGCAGGCGCGGCCTGCTGCGCGTCCGGCCTGCACAGCGCGTCGGCAGTTTGGAAAGGGTTCTCTTGCAATAAATGAAGACGAAGCGTTGCAACTTCCACCAAGAACCACCTTCACGAATTCTGGACCGAGTATTGAGATCGTCACCATCAATCAATGAACGACGTGTGCCCAATACCAACAATGCGTCCACCATCTACTTCCAGCGCAACTGATCTACCAGAAATCAGGTTCTTACCCGACATAAACAAACCCAGGGCCACAAAGACTGCTACCGCAGTGGGTCTTTGTGTTGGGGATTAGTTGCCCCCGTTCAGGACTCAGGGGCGGCAGTATTCTTTTTGCGCAACGCTGGCTCAAGCCAAATAAGCTCGAGTCTCAATTGCTAGAGCAGGGGCGCAAAGGGATACAGAGACCCGAAGCAACAAGAAAAACAACATTCGAGCGGATGCAGCTCACGGCTTCTACTCTGATCGTAGCTGTCGGACGGTCGGACGAGATTGGTATCTATAAACACGACCTCGAAGACCACACTGGGCTCGCTCAAGATTTGACTGACTCACTTTAAGCAAGCTGCTGACTTGTTTGCTCCCTGGTCAACTCAACCAACACCCCGGCTGAACCGCACCACCCAGCCGGCCAGGCAACACTTACAGCGCAGTCGAGGCACTTGCGACCGCCGCACGGCGGTTGGAAATGCGGCGGTGGCGACGCCGCCACCGAGCCTCCATGAGCTTCTCCTCTGCCTTGCAGCCCCAAAACATCTCACTGTTTTGTTTTGGGCAAATGAGCTTGCCAGCGCGAAAGGCCCGCCGGCGCACAAACATGTGAGCTATCGAACTGTTTGTGCGTGAGGGCGGTGATCCAACCTGCAAAACACAGAACCCCCCCACAGGCCGCGTGCCTCCCATACCTCTCGCAGAAGGTCGAAGTCCACCTGGCGCCAACCGTGTCAAGTCAATCCGAGTTTTTGCCTTGCGGCGCTTCTTGTCATCTCATGTCATAAACAACATACATCCGACCCCCGACGCCAACATGCAAAAACACTTAGCTTCAAACAATTCCCGGACAATTCTGCATGCATTGGTCACATTGGCACGGACGAGGCTAAGGATCATTGAGCACAGGACGAGTTGAGGTGATGAGGCGAGTGAGGGAGAAGCGACGAGTAAGTGAATGAACGTGACTCTGCCTGACCAGGAAGGCTGCTGCCGCTTGAGAAGGGTCGTCTGGGCGCGGTGGCGTGCCGATTTGAGTGCACCCTGCGCAATTTGTGTCGCTCGCGCTTTCGGCTTGAATCACATGCCTGCGAGGCGTTGCGCTGCGCTTGGATGTGGCACGCTGCTGCTCCGCAATGGAGACGGAGCCGCCCCCGTCTCGCCACGAGAATCCGGGTGGGGAGTGGAGCGGAGTGGAATGGAGTGGAGTGGAGTGCGGAGCAGAGCGGAGCAGAGCAGCGTGAGTGAACTGAGTGAGTGACTGAGTGAGTGAGGTCAGTGACAGAGCGAGGTGAGCCGGGCGGAGGACGGGAGGAGGCCACACAGAGTGATGCGGTGAAAACGAAGAAAGGGGCATATGTGTCTTTTGCGAAGCGAAGAGAAACACGCCAAAACACTGGACACCCTCGTCCTAAAGTTTCTTGATGAAAATTTGCTTAGTTCCGCCTTTTGGTGAGTTGAAGGATTCTTACACCCTTGCCAAGGACATGTTGAAATTTATATTCGAAAGGGAAGCCCATGCCATCCAAACTGCGCTCGTGGCGGATCTTTCGGGACATCGTGCGCCACTTCGCGCGTCCACAGGACACTGCGCCCCAAACAGCTTGCTGTTTCTGGGCAGGAGATGAGGGGATCCAGCTGCCATACGTCTTTGCTCAGTAGAAGACTCGACTGACCAAAATCCAGCCTTGTCTTGAACCAAATGCCCGCCCTTCTTGTCCTCGGCATGGGCGAGTGGTTCATCACCAGCCTCAAGAGCAGTAGCTTGCAGCGTGTGGTTCAAAGTGGAAAGTCTTGCAGACGGCCTAAACTCTTGCCCAACAGTGCTAGCCCCATCCTCGTCACCATTGCGTGGCCCTTCCTCTTGCCCACTTCTCGCAAGGACCTAGGCTCCTACATCTTTAAGTAGAAAATGTGTGGCCCAAAGCGTTTGCAGCACCTTTGCCGGACGCCCAGCGGAGTCTGGCAACAGAGCTATGATCTGCGGCAACAGAGTTGTGACATGTGTCATGTTGCAATTTGCTAGCGCAACTCACTACTGCAACTCGCTAGACTGTTCTTGGCACAAGTTCTCTCAGCAAGTTTCCCTGGACAAGTTTCTGCGAGCGCTGACCACAACACGGCGGCCTTTCGACGCGGGTACAATTGTCGCACTGCGCGAAATAGCCAGAGATGCCAAAGCGCACTTTGCCACTTACTTCGCGCTGCTGACCTTCTGACTTAGACGCTGCGGCGACCAAGCAGGACTCAAGACTTGTGGAGCTTCACGTTCGTTCTTTCACGCGCAAATCCAAAAGAATATTAGCGCATGTGTTGTAAGAAGCTGAAAACCTCCCGCGCCAATCCCTGAAGTAACTTGCTGTTGTAGCCGGCCAAGGCAACCTCTTGTGCAACTTGATCGCGCAGCTTGCTTCGCAAACTTCTCCTGCATCTTCCTTGCGCAACTTGCTGCAGCAACCTCTGCTGCAACTTGCCAACACAACTTCCTAATGCAACTTGCTAGCGCTGTCTGCTAGTTCATCTTGCGAGTGGTAAGTTTCTTGTGCTACTTACTGGCTAGTGCGTCCTGCAAGCGGAAAATTTCTAGCTCTACAGCCTAGTGCATCTTGCTAGCGCATCTTGCTAGCGCCAGTTGCTAATGCAACTTGCTAACGCAAATCGCTAGCGCTGCTTGCTAACGCAACTTGCTTGCGCCCGTTGCTGCTGCTACTTGCCACAGCGAGACTTGCTGGCGTAATCCTCTCCAGGTCTCTTTCCTGTTCAATCCCTTCGCAATGCTTCCCGGAAATAGTTTTTCTTTCCATCATCCCCAAGCGAATCTCGAAACTTGATCAAGTCAGCCCACGCACAGCCAAGGCTCGGCGTCTGTGCACTCTGGCACTTCCATCATGGAAGGCACCTACCCCGCAGCCACGCGCAAAGGGCGGTGTTAAAAACTGTGCACACAGGAAAAACATCCTGTCCGGCGCAACTTCATGTTGCCCAAGCCTTCCCCAACGCAACATGGCAACATGAACTTCCAGGAGGGGTGCCGCTTCACCCTCAAGCCTTGGAAACAATTCAGGAACCATGACTCCCTCAGCCTTCACGATCTTCAGGCCCACAGTCGCTGCCGGGTTGTCAGACTTGGGCGCGAAGCACGGCGTGTGCTTAAATGATTGGAACTGCAAGGCCTCACACATGACTCGGTTCCACGAGACTGCCTCGCAAACAGACAAAGAGGAACCTATGACTGGATTGCTCTGGTCTCATTTTTAAGATACCTTCTTTGAGAATCAAGGGGAAACAGCAATGTGTCCCAACAGCATTGGTTGCACCGCCTGCAACACCGGCGCAAGAGTTCCGGGTGGAGACCGCAGCAGCGCAATCAGCTCGATGTGTTTTTCCTGCTCTCACGAGTCGCTCCGCGACCCCTTGTACCTGGCTATGGACAAGTTTAAGCTAGGTGGGAGAACAATTGATGTGAGCCTTGAGCCAAAACGGCGGCCGTCACGTGTGAGTGGTGGTCAAGGCTTGTTTTATTTGAGTCTGTCACCGCCCGCAGACTGTGTTGGCAAACTTGTTGGGGGGCCACAACCAGATATGGCCTGAGACTCACGGCCCTGGGTCCCACATTTGCTTGTCATCAGCATTGTCGACAGCGGGAGCCCGAAAGGTGAGGTCGGGCGGGCGCTCGTGCTTGCGATGAGTACATTTGCACACCCTGTGCTTTCAACCGACCACTCCTCCCAGAGCCTCGCGTGAGCTTCGCGGTGACGCATCCCCCTTAAAACGAGGCACCCCTCCATTGAGGCACCGGCCTTTGCCTTATCCTCTGCCACGCAAGTGCCCGCGTACAAGCACAAACATCTCTTTGAGAGGGGAAGATTGAAATCAAAACACTGGAAGGGGTCGACTTGAGCCAACAAGTGTACACCTACGGACTTTAAGCCAAAGTGTCCCATGCGTAAGCATGCGTATATGCACATGATGTCGGGGTAACTGCTCACATTTTCAACACATCACAAAATAAAAATGCTGACGTGACAAACAGCTCACAGCTACAACAAACAGCTCACAGCTGGTTGTCTCAAAACCAGGGCTAGTTGGCTTCCCATGTCAGTGCTGGGTTGAACAAAGAGGAAGCCACGAGGATCAAACGGATTGAAATTTGATTTGAAGTCGCGTGCGCCCCTCTGCGAGGCGGTTGTTGTTTCATGGCACTTGAAGCAAATCCTGAGCCGCTCAAAATGAGAATCAAGGGGAAATGCCTAAAATCCCAACGGCACTGCCCGCGCTGTTCCTTCAAGATGAATGCAATGCATGATGGGAAGGCGCAGTCACTCGCTGAGATCGATTGTTTTGGGTAGCTTCGCTGCGCTTTCACAGTAAGAAGGAACGACAGGGACTATGATGCTTGAGCCAATATGATATTGCATGTAACTCCTACACGGTGCGTTTGCCATGGGAAACTATTCACACCCCCCGCACGATGAGGCTCGTTCCAAACTAACAGAAATCACATGTCATTTGACTCTCTCTCTCTCTCTCAGTATTTTCCACGCGTGTCATAAAGTGATGTTATGACGCTGCGCGATTTCTAAAAGACTCACTGGCCCCCGAATTGGCTGCTCCGGTCGCCTCAGGCTTGTTTAGAACCTGTCACCAACCGCAGATAGATGACTCCGAACCTTTGTCAGTATCAAAAAAAAAGCTTTTCCTTGGAGGCCCCAGACGGGACGCGCATTGAATAACAGCACATCAGCGCTTCGCCCGCTCCATCCCTAAAACTTGGCGGCTCTGTTCCATTTTCCTACATCGTCGGCGCGCCCTGTAGGCAAGGTCATCATGCCCAGGGACCCCCCCTTGCCTAATTTTCCTTCTGGAAAAACCCGCACGTAACAAGTCGTCCGATTGCGCCGCTTGCTGCAATAGTCAAAAATGAAACGTGATAATACATACTCCGTTAGTAGGCCGGCCGGAGACCTTGTCTGCCCCTGTCTGAGAGCATCATATTTCAATCAAACCATGCGTTGGTTATGTTGATTTTGGGGAGCCAGAAAAAACGTACTCTACCATCCCTGGTCACGGACGCCCAAACCTCCAAGATCTCTTTTTTTGCACCTTTCCTGTGCTGAACTTTCTGTATGAGGGACCATCTTGCTGTCCAGATGCTGAGGATTCTCCAGCATGACTGACTGACTCTTCTCCAGTCTCGGCGGCGCGCTGTCTTGTCTCTCCCGCCATGATCACATGCGCAACTTGAGCTTCCCAACCCTCATCGCATCCTACGAACTCCGCCCAACAAATTGCTTCGAACGGCGCAGGGCCCGTTGCCGAGATCGTGAAAGCCTTGGTTACCCAGCAACACACGACCCAGTACTTGAATTTCCTTCGCGCATCATCTGCTGGTAATTGTTCGTTCTTCTCCACTTTTATACCATGGACTCTGGCGAAATGAACGATCTCCGCGAGGCGACGGGCTTCAGACAGCACATCGTCCGTTTCGCGAACACTCTTCATATTGAAAGGATACTGTTTGTGCACCACAGCTTTTCGGATAGCCTCAATTGCCTTGCTTTGGGGTTGGAGAGCGTCTCTCAAGGCACGAACCTTTGCTTCTTTGTTGGACATCACGCTGTCGTGATATTTCACAACTTTCGACATGCTGGTTTGCACGGCTGCTTCCTCCGAATGCAGTTTCTCTCTCAGTCCACAAACCTCACCTTCCAGTCTTTCCCTCGTGTCGTTACTGCATTGGCTCGTCAACTGCCTGCTTCAAAGAAGCCAAAACTTCGCTGCGCGCTGACCTGCATCGCTGGGCAAATTTTAATGTACATGCGACTTATCTTAGCCGTTTCTGACGCAAGTTTGCTCATGTCTCATTCATTCTCTCCAATCCTAAAATCCGCTGAAGGCTAGCTGAGCGGTGATCAAAATCAATAGGCCAAATTGCGATGATATCATTTGGCGCTTCCGCGTGCTTCCGCGCGCTTCCGCGCTGCGGGTGTTTGCTTCCGCGCTCTCATTTCCCTTCCGCGCCTTCCGCGGCTTGCGTCCCTTTCTTGCCAAGCCAACACAACTAGATATTGAGTTTGTCATCCACCACCCGTCGCTTTCGTGAAAAGCGCTGCCAAGTGCCCGGGAGCAAAAACGATTTGTTCGGCCTGAACAAATCGTTTTAGTGCCCGCGGGAGCAAAAACGATTTGTTCGGCCAAACGATTTGTTCGGTCGTTTTAGTGCCCGGGAGCTAAAACGATTTGTTCCTTTACCAAGTCACCACGTGGGCTTCTTCTGATATGGCCGGTTGGGCCGACATTTACTTGTCAGTTGAAGCGAAATGGTTTTGCTCCCAAGTGTAAAACGATTTGTTCGGGCCAAACAAATCGTTTTTGCACCCCGAACCTCTAAACGATTTGTTCGGGCCAGACAAGTGTTATTGCTCCCCGGGCGTAAAAACGATTGTTCGGGCTAAACAAATCGTTTTTGCTCATCGTTTTTGCTCCCCGGGCACTAAAACGATCTGTTCGGGCCCACTCTGACTTACCCCGAGGCGAAGCCGAGGCGAAAGGGCTCGATTCCTAGGCGCCGCTTCTTGCGGGGTGACGGCCAAAACAGGCCAGTGAAAATGGTTTTGTTTTGTGGCCAGAAACGATTTTGCTTGCCCGGGCGAAAACAATTGTTGGGCCCAAGCAAGGGCTGGGGAGCAAGAGATTTGATTTCTACACCTTTTGACGCTCCAAAAATGTTCCGCGCCCTTCCGCTGTGCAAATTTCGTAGTCAACTTCCGCCGGCCCTTCCGCAAGCTTCCGCGGCCTGCGGAAAACCTTCCGCGCGGATTGATTTCAGCGCTCCCTTACTTAAATTGCTTTGAGCATTCTTGATCGCTGCTCAGCTTGGGTTCTTGATTCCATCGATATGCACTCACTCGATCCGCAAAGCGCAAGCCTCATACTGCTCTGCAGCCTCGCTCGTATGAGACTCACTCTTCTGGCGCTGCTTACCCAATTCTTCATCAAGCATTTCATCCGCCGGCTTGGACTATTCGGTGAGTCCTTTTAGAAAAGTAGTAGAGTCCGCTCTTCATCGTTTCCATGGTCTGATGTGTTCCTTGTGATTGACGACCCAATAGCGTTGTCATTGGGCAATATGAGGACGTCTCACACCACGTGGGATCAACCCTACGGCTGATAACCTGGTATCGAGGGGAAATACCTGAAACGACAGTCCTGCCTGCGCCGGTCCCCAAGATGAATGCAATGCCCCGATGGGAAGCCGCAGTCACCCAGCGAGCTCGATTGAATTGTTTTGATTAGCTACAGGGACTATTATACTTGAGCCAATATGATATTGCATGTAATTCCTACAAAATATGTTTGCCATGGGGAAAACATCACACAAAGTAAGCACCCGGAACTTGTAGGCCCACAACCTACCAGCGAGAACCTGAATCATGTTCAAAACATACCACTGCGTCAGATCTGCTTGAGATGGGCCAGTCCTTAAAGTACAGGTGGATGGATCTAAAGACGGCCAATGCAAATGCAAGGGCCTTAGAATTACACCAGCACTCAACTCAACCCTTCTTTTCACAACGCAAAACACAATTGCGCAGTGCTTGTGGGCGCCACTACCCAAGTGTGCACTTGCTCCGGCACCTGCAAGATTCCGCCCATCGTCTTGTAGCCCAGCCTGGCGCGTTGCTATTTTCTCCACAAATCCAACACTCGGATTCGCCACGTCCATGTCCTCGCGTCTCTCATTTGGCAGTCCCTGGAAGCTAAAGCTTACTGGAATCAGGGGAAACGCGTTTAAGCCAGGGCATCCCACGCAAAGGGAACACGAAAAAAAAAAAAGATTCAACACGAGTGAGGAGGTCTCTTGTTCCCGAAAGCATCGCGAAGGGTTCTTCCGTGCGGAGCCCTTGGACAAGTCACATAGAGCCAAGTTACATAGAGCCAAGTTACATAGAGCCAAGTTACATAGAGCCAAGTTACATAGAGCCAAGTTACATAGAGCCAAGTTACATAGAGCCAAGTTACATAGAGCCAAGTTACATAGAGCCAAGTTACATAGAGCCAAGTTACATAGAGCCAAGTTACATAGAGCCAAGTTACATAGAGCCAAGTTACATAGAGCCAAGTTACATAGAGCCAAGTTACATAGAGCCAAGTTACATAGAGCCAAGTTACATAGAGCCAAGTTACATAGAGCCAAGTTACATAGAGCCAAGTTACATAGAGCCAAGTTACATAGAGCCAAGTTACATAGAGCCAAGTTACATAGAGCCAAGTTACATAGAGCCAAGTTACATAGAGCCAAGTTACATAGAGCCAAGTTACATAGAGCCAAGTTACATAGAGCCAAGTTACATAGAGCCAAGTTACATAGAGCCAAGTTACATAGAGCCAAGTTACATAGAGCCAAGTTACATAGAGCCAAGTTACATAGAGCCAAGTTACATAGAGCCAAGTTAGGTAGAGCTTAGAGCTTCGGCGTTAGCAGCTATGTAAGTTAGTTTAAGTTTCTAAGGCGCCGGGGCGGGAGTTTGATCGTCGCTCGGGATTGCGACCCTCTGCGGAGATTCGCGTGGTCGAGGTTTAAAAACTGAGGACTTTTTACGATTTTTAGCATGCGCGCGCAACCCTCTGCGGAGATTCGCGTGGTCGAGGTCAAAAAACTGTGGACTTTTTATGATTTTTAGCATGCCCGCGCGACCCTCTGCGGAGATTCGTGTGGTCGAGGTTCAAAAACTGAGGACTTTTTACGATTTCTGCTGCGCGCGCGACCCTCTGCGGAGATTCGCGTGGTCGAGGCTCAAAAACTGAAAACTTTTTACGATTTTTAGCATGCGCGCGCGACCCTCTGCGGAGATTCGCGTGGTCGAGGTTCAAAAACTGAGGACTTTTTACGATTTTTAGCATGCGCGCGCGACCCTCTGCGGAGATTCGCGTGGTCGAGGTTCAAAAACTGTGAACTTTTTACGATTTCTGCAAGCCGCGCGCGACCCTCTGCGGAGATCGTGCGTGTCGAAGCGCTCTCGCTGTGGCGCCGTGCGAATTTGTCTTAGTCTCGGCGAACCCTCTGCGGAGATTGTGCGTGTCGAAGCGCTCTCGCTGTGGCGCCGTGCAATATTCTTTCTCGCGAAACGGCCTTTGGAAGTTGTCTCGTGGTTTGCGCGCTTGCTTTCGCAATCCCGCGGTCGCGGGTTCGATTCCCCCCTGGTCCGCGGCAGCTCCGGCTTGAAAATCGCAGCTTTTAAGTACAAACGCAGTACGCGGAGCGTGCTCCTGCAGCTCCGGCTGGAAAATCGTAGTGTAGGGGGCATCTGTTGTGTAGTTGCGACTCGCATCTTTTGTGTAGTTGTGGCTCAGGATCCTGTGGCCTCCAAGTCGCAGCAGCTGCTGGACACTCTGCGAGAAGGCTTTGCCGCACGGGGAGCTGGCTGGCTGCGCGAGGAGCCCGCCAAGCAGACCGCCGTGCAGCTGCGACAGCTTGCTGGCACTGCGGGCGTGCAGCAACGTGAAGCTGGACGCAACCTGCCCAAAGCGGAGCTGCTAGAGAAGGTGGCGCAGCACGTTTCCCAGGAGCAGGCGCGATGAGGGAACGACGCCGGCAGACAAGAGCTGCGCGCGAGCGCTGAGGAGAAAAAAAGCGCGCAGGGTCTTTGCGGTTGTTGTGACTTGCTCGCGCCTCTGCTGTGCCTCGTGACTCGCTCGCACGCTCTGCTGGGTCAGGCAGAGCTGCGTCGCTATCTTACTTCTCACTTTGCGCGCTCCTCGTCAATCATCGACCCGCGCACGGCACCAGCTCAACTTCGTGCACGATGTCTAGGAGCTTGACCGAGTGACGCTCTGAGACGACATTTTCTCCACAGGACATGATGTGTCACACCTTTGTGCATGTGACTGGCTGCGAGGACGACTCTGCTCGGCCTCGGTAAGTCCCGAGATGTTGAGTAAGGGGGTGTCCAGCGGCACCCGGGAAACCAAGGATGGCAAACGCCGTGTAATGCGAAGTGTGAATTCAGGCGGTTTCGTCTGCCTGAGGTGCCTCAGGGCTTCAGGGCGCGACTGCCCGCCGCGGACTGGCTGCGGTCTTGACGCAGCCGTCCTGGATGAAGGAGGCCGACTATGGGTCCTGCTGTTGCGCGCCGCCAAGATGAGCGACCTGACGCTCGTTGCGCTGCCCGATCGACAGTACTTCGAAAGCTTCTTGCACCAGCGCAACGGCATGTTGGTCGAGAGGATGAGGAAGCTCAAGGAGATGTCCGCTCGGAGCACGAACAGCGAGGACCCTACAAGCTGATGATGGCCCCAGCAGCTTTTCATCGCTGACTGTCGCGGATTAGTGTGATCTATTTGTTTTCCCTGTGATCTAACGTGATCGTTTGCTTTTTGGCCATTTTCGATGCGGCTGTTTGGAACTGCGCGGCAGTGACACTCTGCTGAGGCACTGTCGTGACGCGAGACGCGCCTAGCGGTAGAAAAGAACAGCTACGCTGGAGCCCTCCGATGCCCTCAGCTTTTCCCTCAGCTTGGCTGACAGCAGCGAGTCAAAATCTCGACTTGTCAGGTTCGAACTTAAATAGAGGAGCTGTTCGGGCGCACTGCGCACTGCGCGCTGCAGTGGAGGGGTCGCACGGCTTTGTTGCCCCTCCATGTTACCCCCGTGCACCTGGCATCGGAAAGTCAGAGACCCTGCAAGCTGATGATGACCCTGCAAGCGCAATCTGATTAACACAAGATAGCTCGTAAGCCTGCTCCGCAACATCGCCTGCGTCGCCAGCACCGCCAGCCTTCGGAAAAACCCGCGCGCGGCAGGTCGCAGCGCGCAGTTTTTTTTTTGCGGTCTCTAGCTGCCACAGATCATCAACATCAGCTTTTTGGAAACCCCCCGCGCGCGGCAGGCAGTAGCGCGCCAAGTTGCGCAGAGCCAAGTTACATAGAGCCCAGTGGCACAGAGCCGAGTGGCACAGAGCCAAGTTGCACAGAGCCAAGTTGCACGGAGCCAAGTTGCACAGAGCCAACTTGCACAGGGCCAAGTTACATAGAGCCAAGTGACATAGAGCCGAGTTACCATAGAGCCAATTTACCATAGAGCCAAGTTACATAGAGCCAAGATACATAGAGCCAGCACAGAGCCAAGTTGCACAGAGCCAACTTGCAAAGAGCCAAGTTACACATGCACAGAGCCAAGTTGCACAGAGCCAAGTTGCACAGAGCCAAGTTGCACAGAGCCAAGCTGCACAGAGCCAACTTGCACAGGGCCAAGTTACATAGAGCCAAGTGACATAGAGCCGAGTTACCATAGAGCCAATTTACCATAGAGCCAAGTTACATAGAGCCAAGTTACCACAGAGCCAAGTGACATAGAGCCAAGTGACATAGAGCCAAGTTACATAGAGCCAAGTTACATAGAACCAAGTTACTAAAAGCTAAGTTACATAGGGCCAAAAGCACATGATGGGAAGCGCTTGGGGAAAAATGCTTTCGGGCCAGTCGTCCTCTAGTAGAGGAGTTTTATGTTCCAGTATCCTCCGGGCAAAACGTCTTGAACCAGGTCAAGCCTGACTGGAATACCAGAAAAACATGTCGATTGCATGAGCATCGTAAACTGCGCAGTGTACGCGCGGCCACTCCTCATGATCTCCGTGGGGTCCTTCAAGAGCTGGATGATGGGACCTGCAAAGGGTGTATTTTTGTGGAACTGGCGCCCGTTTTGGAGTTGTTGTGAAGAGAAGTGACGGGGAACATTCTTCCTTCTTGTTGGTGGTTTCGACGAGGAACCACAAAGCCAACCGCGCAAAAAGAAATGCAGGGCGGCCACTCCGGCGCGCGCTGAGGGCCATACGGCCCAAACTCAACTCCACATGGGCAAATGGCGCTGCACGTGTCGACCAAACGTGGACTTCCCAAGCGCTTAGGTCTGCCGAAGCCTGAGAGAACTCACAAGAAACGACACGTTCACCCCTGCAACAAGCACAAAGCAAGATGCCAAACTCTGGCCATCTTCCGTCGCGTTCTCTTCTGCTCACTTCTCCGGCCATCTTCTGATTATCTTCTGCTTGCCTTTGAGTTCCCTTCAATCTGGCCATCTTCTGCTCACCTTGACCATAGAAGAAGGGAAGATGTTGAGGATCAATGCAACTAAACGGAGCCTCTGTTTTACCGGGAATCTGCCACTTCCAATCCCAGCAACTTCCGCCCCTGCAAACGCAGGCTGCCTTGTGCTGCGACCACCAGGTGGGAAAAACACAATTATTCTGATGAGTGTGCGGCGAGCATTCATTTTACACTCTTTCAACCAAAATAAACCTGCTTAACCCTAAAGCTGTTTCTTTTGTTCATCTGTCTCTTGAGGAGAAAAAACACGACTCTCTGGCCGGCAGTGGCGGATTCGCATTCTGCCGGGGCCCCTGCCAATCACGGGCAGCCCCATCTGCAAGCTGGGTGGTTCTTTCCTGCACGCAGAAACTGCGAAGACTTGAGAAAGCTAACTTCGCCACACAACATGCCTACGACCTGACAAACACGAGCATTTACAAACTCATTCTGGAAGACTGCCCTCCGATGTCTTACTGGAAGGAGCTCGGGAGTTTTCATGTGAGTCGGAAGCGGCACGGAATGCATGACAAGAGAATTGAATGTAGTTGGGTGTCTAGCGTCTGGAAGACACGGTCTGTTGACTCCGCAAGGCGCGCTGACAAGAGCAAGGTGGCGAGAGCCGTGGCGCCAGGCCACAAAGATGACGGGGCTTGGAACTCCGAAGGTGTGTCCGGCCCGCCTTTGTAAGGCTGTGGCAGTGGCGCTCTTGCGTGGACAGGTGCGCGCTGAAGGCAAGCAAGTCTTCGGTGGATGTGAGGACATACGCCGATCTGGTACGGTCAACTGATATGGATGTCGCCGACCGTAAAAAGCACCTGGAAATCGGAGTTCCCTACTCTGAACAGTTGCCATGCAACCAAATCCTCGCCACCTTTCACTTTGGCATGCCAATATTCTGCAACTTTCTGGGTAGGACATGCAGCGCACCCCCCCCCCCCAAAGACGGCCTAATTTTTGAAGGACACCGGGACCCTGTTTTCCATCCTCCTGACATCTCGCCTGCGCCACCACCGGCGCAGCAGCAGCGCTGAGAGCACCACCGTGGCGCCCGCGGGCACCAGGGCGCCATTACCCTGGCCGAAGCAACGAAGGCCAGGGCCTAAATTTGGAAGCGGGGGTCTACCAGTTCCTGGTTTCTAAAGAAGGAAGCAAAAGATCAAGAAAACAAACAAGCAACTGGACCCAAACCAAACAAAAATAGTTAGATAACTATGAAGCAAACACAAATCCTCAGACAGTCTGTCCGCTGGATCGATCAGCGTTAGCCAAAGCCAAACTAGACCACGGTTGGCCCGAAAGCAGAACATCGCAAGCGAGGTCGGCCCAACGCTGCATCCCTACACGAAGCATTTGTGAAGCAAGCGCGAGACAGCACCAGGCAAGGTGCTCTGCGCAAACTGGTCGGTGCAAGTTGGTCTGCGCAAGTTGCTCTACGCAAGTTGCACTGTGCAAGTTGCTCTGCGCAAGTTGCTCCGCGCAAGTTGCTCCGGCAAGTTGGTCCCTGCGTGTGGCTCCCTGCAAGTTGCTCTGTGCAAATTGCGCTCCCTGCAAGTTGCTCTGTGCAAGCTGCTCTGTGCAAGTTGCTCTGCGCAAGTTGCTCTGCGTAAGTTGCTCTGCGCAATTGCTCTAGGCAAGGCGCTCTGCGCAAACTGGTCGGTGCAAGTTGGTCTGCGCAAGTTGCTCTGTGCAACTTGCTCTGCGCAAGTTGCTCTGCGCAAGTTGCTTTAAAATGCAAGTTGCATCTTGCGACGCCCGCCCGCGGACCAGGGAGGAATCGAACCCGCGACCCGCCGGTTCCGGGAGCAGGCGCGCGAACCACGAGACAACTCCCGAGGACCAGTTCGAACAACAAAAGTCGCAAAAAACCTCGAGTTTTTGCACCTCGACCACGCCGATTCCCGCAGAGGGTTGCGCGAGCACCGCAGAAATCGCAAAAAACCTCGAGTTTTTGCACCTCGACCACGCCGATCCCCGCAGAGGGTGCGCGGGCACCGCAGAAATCGCAAAAAACAATGGGTTTTTGCACCTCGACCACGCCGATCCCCGCAGAGGGTCGCGCGAGCACCGCAGAAATCGCAAAAAACCATGGGTTTTTGCACCTCGACCACGCCGATCCCCGCAGAGGGTCGCGCGAGCACCGCAGAAATCGCAAAAAACCATTGGTTTTTGCACCTCGACCACGCCGATCCCCGCAGAGGGTCGATTTTCGTGTAGTGTCGTCGGCACTACCCCGCCGCCCTAAGAAGAGATTTTAACTCCTCGCAAGTCAATTGCACTTGACTCCTTGCACTTGCAACTTGCACTCGGCTCCTTACACTTGCAACTTGCACTTGACTCCATGCACTGCAACTTGCACCTGACTCCTTGCACTTGCAACTTGCACTTGACTCCTTGCACTTGCAACTTGCACTTGACTCCATGCGCAGCTCGCAATGATGACTCCTTGCAATGACTCCTTGCAATGACTCCTTGCAATGACTCCTTGCAATGACTCCTTGCAATGACTCCTTGCAATGACTCCTTGCAATGACTCCTTGCAATGACTCCTTGCAATGACTCCTTGCAATGACTCCTTGCAATGACTCCTTGCAATGACCTTGCAATGACTCCTTGCAATGACTCCTTGCAATGACTCCTTGCAATGACTCCTTGCAATGACTCCTTGCAATGACTCCTTGCAATGACTCCTTGCAATGACTCCTTGCAATGACTCCTGCAATGACTCCTTGCAATGACTCCTTGCTGATCCTTGCAATGACTCCTTGCAATGACTCCTTGCAATGACTCCTTGCAATGACTCCTTGCAATGACTCCTTGCAATGACTTTCATGATGATGATTCCTTGCAATGACACCTTGTAATGACTCTCATGAGAACAACTCAAGTGAACCCAGCGGAAGAACCCTTCGCCATGCTTTCGGGAAAACTCAAGAAAGCAAAAAAGCAAACCCAATAATCAAACACCCGTCCCTCAGACACTGTTTCATTCACTGCGCGAAAAGTTTTGGGAGAACGTGGTGTTTCTTGTGTTTGTTGTTTTTTCTTGAGTCTGTCTTGGTTGTGTTTTGGGCAGGGCTGATCCAGTGGATGTGTTTGTTTTCTTGAAAGGAATTCTTAATTGAAATTCCAGTACAAAATGGAAATCGCGTTGAACCATTTTGAATAAATTGAGTATAAATATTAACTGATGTGGAAAGGACATTCCGAAAATTCTAGGTTGAACCAGACATTATGACGGCACTATTCCCCGAAGCAACTTTATTTAACCTCGACATGAATTGTAATGCTCTATTTGACACGGAGTTCTTTCCAAATTCCAAAGCTTAGATAGAATGGCCAAGAGGATTCGGAATACGCCTCTCTGAAGGGTCACTGACGAACAACAACATGCAAGTGATGGCCACCGTTTAGAACAAGTCAGCCCGGGCGGTCACTTAGTTCGGTGAAAATCCTTCAGCTATCACCCGAAGGCTGTCCATCTCGCGCCTTGCCGTGTCGGAGCATGGCAGCCGCCTTGGGCTGATCTGCTCCTGCCAAGTAGCAGGGTACACGGAAATGAGAGGCGCAAACGAAATGCACGAGCCGAAAACGCGCAACCAAAATGCAACATGCGTGTCGCATGCCTTTTGTGCCCATGATGTATGCCCTTGTGCGGCGTCCAGGCGAAATCCACAAGCGCTTACAATATGCGTGCGACGCATACAAAAGGCATGCAGAACGACAAACATGTCAGCACGTGTTGCCCTTGCCGCATGCTATTGCTCTCCCCCCCCTCCCTTCCGGATCCTCAGCACCCCCGACCCGGACAGGTCTGGGGCCAAGCTGCGAGGCAGTCGGCAGTGGCCCGATGGCTGCTGTCTTTTGAGTTTATCCAGAAAATGCTCATTGTGAAGTCATATCGACACACATGGGCGATATGTTCTCGGGTTCCTGAGTTCTCACTGTGCAACCCAGCGATCGCAAATCTGCCACACTCGCAGAAAGCCAAACACTCGGAAAAATAAACTTGCCGCCAGAGCCATCTCCATGCGCAATATAAATGTATCTACACGTCGAGCTCCACACCTTTTGTCCAGATTCCGCCGAGAAGTGTTCACAAACTCTTCTTGGAAGTGTGCACTTTGCCCTTTCTAGAGTGAATTTGGATTGTGTCTAGAGTTGCCGCAAATCTGATCAAACTTGACTGCCTGCTAAATGGTAAAGGGCAGTGCCCTTCTTGGTGGGGATCCTGTAATCTGTGGGGATGCACGGCCTACCAGCCCTTAGCATCGTTACTGGGTGAGAATGTGTGATTGAACCCAAATCAAATTCCACTAGCAAAAGGCGAGCTTGTGCTCCGTGAGAGTGCAAAAACAGCCCAACACTGGAGGCAGCTGAGATTTTGAAGTCAAACCTGTGTAGGGTGTCAAAAACGGTTTTTCCCATGCGCATGTGTGTGGATGTATACATCTATATTTGTATTGTGTCTGTGTAAAGCAGCAAAGGATGGCTCCTCATTTTGCAACAGGCCTACCGGCAGCGGACCATTCCGTGCCATGGCCAGATCACCCACTGGGCCAGGTCTCCAGAGCGTGGCTTCAGTGTCTGAACTCAGGCAACCTGATACCTCGTGTTCACGAATCACACAAAGCCGCGCGCATCGCCTTTGTTGCCATGGGCGCAAGTCTAGATCCGGACACAGGCCAGCCATATCGCTTAGGGTTGCTGCACGCAATTGGTCAGGCTGACCAGACATCGCACTGTTGCCACTCCTTTCCCTTGATCGAGGCATGGGCAACTGGAAAGCAGCAGAGCCTCAGGTGGTCAAAGCAGCATATTCAGCAGTCAGAGTGCTGACCGAGCTGTCTTGTACTCCCGCGATGCTGGGGTGCTTGGTGTGGTGCCTGCGCCTGGCCGCGACGTGTCTGACGCTGGCGTCATTGCACGCGAAGCACCAGGATTTGGCAAGCATCTGTGCATCTACCCATGCTAAATGGCCATGAAAAGTTTGTAAGGAATTTTTCCGGTTCTAGCCAAGCCATGCAAGAAGGAGGCTGCTCCAAGATGGCAACCCCGCACTGCGTGGCCACTGCCTTAAAAAGCTCGTGGCCCCGCCTGTGAATTTCTCTGCTTCGTTGCAGTTTTTCGTGCTCTGCGCTGGAAAGATTCGGAGGGCCCTGCATGCTGGTGTGCGCAGGGCTTCGGCCCACCCACAGCTCCGGACCAGCATATGCGCATCAACAACTCGAACCATGCGTCGTCTAGAATGTCACGCTCGGAGTTCGCATCTAGATCGGTTCAGACCATGTCTGTCTGCTGCGGCAGAGATTGGTGCATGCGCACTGGCAAAAACATCGAGCAGGAGTCCTCCCCGCAGTGGCTTGCATGCTTGCGGTACTCGGAGCGTGGGGATGTGTGTTGCGCTGTGTTTAGATGGTGATGCCGGCTGTGTGTTTGGACTGTCCGGGGGCTGGCTGGGCGCTGCGACGCACCATGCGATTGCTGACAGCCTTTGATGGCGCGCACATGCGCAAATTGACAATTTTCGGTGCGGCACGTTCCGTTTTGGAAACGACGGCAAATGGGCTTATCGTTGCGCGACGCAGCCCAGTGGTCTTTGCTCTTGCCTTCCCCTTTGCCTTTTCCCTTTTTGCGAGGCGGCTCTGCTTTATGCAGTCGGGACGCCGGAGGCTTGGGCGTGCGTCGGTCTGGCTGTTTGCTTTGGGGAGCTGGCGGGATGGGTGTGTGCTTACTTCCATCCGCCCGTGCGTGAGTTCGCGGAAAGCGTCATCCATGGACTGTGCCCCATATTTTGCGGTCTGCCTCTAGGAGTTTGGTAGTTGTCACTGTGCGAAGCGACAGTGCAGGATCAGGCTGGCTCAGACATAGGTTGGACACATGTGCGTCCAGAGCCTTGGCGATCCAGCAGATACACGGCTTGGCAGAGTGCCAAAGCATTACGGAACACTGTTTGAATGCGACGCAGCCAGCGATGGGAGGTCTGCCTTCCACACTGACCTCTCACGGGTGGGCTTCGGTTCGTACTACCTTGTGCGTGCGGGCTTCCATGGCCTCTGGTACTGCTTCGAAGAGAGCCGGAACTGCCAGCAAATCCATTTGAATTGCTTGGCTTTGGTCCTTTCGTAGACCATGCTGAGCAAGCGGATGCTAGGCATGCTGTCCGGTGTCAGAAGCTTGCCTGGGCCGGCGGCGCCTGTTCGTTTGGCGCTGCCTGGATGCCATGTCCGGATGACGAGGCCGAGGCGGCTGCTGTGTTTCGCCTGGACACCATTATTGGCTGTGTCCAATGCGCGTCGCAGGCGGGCAACTGGTATGCAATGCTGGTACTCAAGGACGCCCAAAGAGTTCCAAATGTCGGCTGGAACTTCTTCCAGCAACTTATTAAGCTCTGCAGCGTCAGCAGAAGCTCATGTCCGCAACTTGTCGCATGTTCTTTACGATCTAGGATTAGAAGGAAGGCTTAAGCGAAAATAGTGCATAGTCGTATATTCAAAGCAAATTCCAAACCTAACTTTTCCAACGCTCGCTCGATTGATATTGTTAGACTGGGATTTGAATTTATGATTTGAGAGCTTGGTTTATTATATGCGTTATATACACTATTTATTATAATCAAGCTTATTTTGAATTCGAATTAAATATATATATGTATTTAGGGTGAGACCAAACTTGTATTTGGAGTGTGCTTCAATTTTTTGAGGCCCATATTGACGAGCCTGATAGCTAGTTGCACAGCTGGCTTTAGCCTTTTACAACTTTCGGCTGCAATCGGCACCTGAAGATCCCTTAAAACTGGCTATAGGTCGGCGTTGGAATCCCGAAGCCTTCTTCGGGGTGTAACACCGAGACCCGGGTTGCATTTGTTGAGATTTATATCTCTTTTTTTATAAATATATATATATATGTTTATTTACTTATTTAGTGAACGAATAATTAACTCATTATAGCATTCATATTATTTAATGAATGATATTATTTTTAACAAATAAATATTATTAATATTGTAAACTCAACATGAAAATTTAAAAGAAATAATTCCTGCGTTTAAACTGAAGCTTGGTAAATATATAAGTCTAACAAGGCCGTGTGTGGTGAATTTGTTAATATTACTATGAATAAACATACTGAATATATTTTAGAAATTGGCAATGATAAAGTCTCGACTTGACGATATACAGAGATTTACAACCCTAATTTCATGAATTTGAGAATTGGTTAACATCTAATAAACAAGAAGTATTGATATTATACATTGATATAACTTATTAATTTTTATATCAATATATAACAATAACAACGGTTTTTCAATGAAATACACTGTTTAATATATAGAGATCTATTTAAATGAACGATTTGATATTTTAATAAACAACAATTTCATTTTTATAAGGAGATTTATAATATTTTGTGTTAAACTAAATGATCAATAATGATATAGAAGAAAACCGATAAAACAAATTATCTTTGAGTACGGCTCAACAATATTTTAAATTTGAGAACCTTGAATTATAATATTGTTAGAATATGTCTAGAGATTATTTGAATTCAATTGAACATATGCTTGGGGAGAAGGGCAACAAAATTGAAAAGTTGTTTTTGGCGGATCACAAGTTTTTACAAGGTGATAATTAGAGTAGATATAAATATTATAACGCATTATGTAGTAATGGCATTGGTTTTGACAACGTCAAAACCGATATTTTTACAATTGAAAAAATAATTACTCGATTCATAAGTTAATGAGATTGAATATTGAAAAATTAATTATATATACAACTTCCTAAACATAACATTTTATTGAAATTATTTTTGTTTGCAGAGCGGTAACCATCTTGCTAACATACAAATGTAACATTTATAAAGATTGAATAAAAATAATTTATGGATGATATCAGAAATACAGTTTAATGATTTGTATAATTTTAAATATAAAGGACTATATAGATATAGAAATAAATTAAGTTTAATAAACATACACAATCCAAATATTGAATATATATATATATATATATTTGTTAATTATAATGAGCATTAAATAGAAATATTGAATTGGATATTTAAAAACCATACAAAAATATATTTAATATTAAATGAAAATAACAAAATCGTTTAAATTTAACTTCAATGTAATATTTAGAATAATAATGTTTTATTTAGGAAATAGCTACTATTTCATTTCAATTTTGATATAATATGATATACTACTGAATAATACAAAATAATACTTATCAAGATCCTGAACACCATTTCACAGAGAAATTTAACAAATGAATCAATAATCTTGAAATACATGTTTTTCTTATTGAATGAAGTACTTCTAAATATAGAAAAAATATATTAACAACAGTTTATTCATTATACAAATTTAAAAAATAAAAACACATAAAAATAATAAACACAATAAAAGATATAAAAACAATAAATACAATAAAAACAATGAAAATACAAAACAAAAAAAGTAATAATAATATTGCTTAATTCTTATGATAAAACACAGTTATAATATATATAGTATATATCTTGTATATTACAGAACCATAAAAACAAATAATAAATTCATTTTGATTCCTATATATTTCGACTTGTTGAATTTATATTGATATAATTACTATAATAATGAAAACAATTAAATGAATTCCTATTGTATATAAGAATATAGTATATTTAAAATCAATTCTAAATATAATATTTCATCAACTTATTATAGGAAACCAATTGAAACATAAAATGAATAATTAAATAGTATAAACATTTATATAATACAATTGTAATATAATTCTTTTCGAAAATAAATAAGTGTATAAATTTACATCATGAATTTTACAAATAAATAAGAATAATTGAATATATCTTAAATTCATACAACTATAAATATCTATAATTATATAACAAACATACAATATAAATAATTTAAACATATACATGAACTAAAATTTAATTTATTGATAATTAATAATAATAAAATTATAAATTTTAAAATTACAAACATTTAAACACAATTTTTAACAAACTGCATATAAAACAATATAAGCAAATAAACAACAATTTTTGGGCAAATACTAGCTAATCTGTGTTTAAAAATATATAGATATATATATATATATATTAATAACACAACATATTCACAAATATTAAAAATCTAAATTTGTTAATATATAATATTATTGTTATATTATAGTTAATAAATATACTTAACAATATAAATTTAAATATGTACATAAACAAATAAAAAACAATATATAATTAATTTAAATATATTTCAATAAATAATTTTCAGATTATTCTAAATTATTCATTATTTTTAATCGTTCAATATTATATTTCTTTTTTAGATATACATTTCTTACTCTATCCTAATATTATCAACCCACCAAATATTACATTTAGCAATATCTAAATTTATCAATTTCATCAAATATCGGGCTCTATATTTGTATCGATATATGTATTTATTTAGTTTCCAATACATTATATATTCAATTCTTTCCCAATGATAATATCAAATCGTCGGACCATCTCCCAATATAGACCTTCAATTGCCTCCCAATACTACCAAATCGCCGGACCACAAACTCGCAAGTGCGTGCAACAACTTATCTAGCTATCAAATCGCTGGGCCGCGCGCGCACCTATCTCCGACTATATGCCTTCATTTGTCTTCCGGGCGCGTGCTCGCCCGAGTGCATTTTTACTTGTCTCCCAAAATATACCGTCTTCCAGTGCTGCCAAATCGCCGGGCCGTATGCTCGCCTATATATGTGTTGATTTGTCTCCCAACATATACCTTCATTTGTTTCCCAGTACTTATCTCCCAGCATTTGCCTGTATTTGTCTCCCAGAGCTGCCACATCGCCGGGCCACATCTTCATCAGTATGCGCCTTCATTTGTCTCCCAGTGTTGTCAAATTACTGGCCGCATGCTTTCCAGTGTGCGCGTTTGCTTGTCTCCTAATATGTACCTTCAATTCTCTGCGCCAGTGCTGCCAAATCACAGGGCAGCGTGCGCGCCAGTATGTGCCTTCATTTCGCTCCCAGTGCTGCCAGATCGCCGGGCAGCATGCTCGCCAGCGTGCGCATAGGTGTGCAAAGCCTTGTTGGCGCAACAGCGTGTCCACCGTCGCCGTACAAGAGTGGTGCACAAGAGTGTTCCTTGCTGTCGCACAAGCGTGTCCACCGTCGGCGAGCAAGAGAGTTTGACTGTTGGCGCACAAGCGTTTCTATCCTCGGCGAATTAAAAAAATGTCCCCTGTTGGCGCACAGGCGTATCCATTGTCGGCGCACACAACTTTTCTTTGTTGGAACACAAGCGTGTCCACTGTCTGCGCACAAGACTGTTCCTGTTGCATAAGAGGCATCCACCGTCGGCGCACAAGAGTGTTCCTTGTTGGCGCATCATCATAGCCAGTGTCGACTCACAATGTGTTCCCTGTTGGCGCACAAGCGTGTTCACTGTCGTCGCCGCACAAGAGTGCTCCAAGAGGAAAACAATTTTGGGCGGTCCCTCAAGAAGACACACATTTGTGGTTGGTTTTGTTTTTTGATGCTGCAGGCTGGTATTGGTCCCGCAAGTGTTGGAGTTGAAGACGGGCCTACGTGTTGGCTATCAATGGTGGGCAAGCAAAGGCCTGGCCATCTCGCGTTGTCCGGGTATCGTTGAGGTATCGTTCAGGGCACCATTGAGACCCTCTAAAAGTTGGACAAATCCGCTCAAATCGTATCGGAAAGTCCTATGTCCTTGCATTGTTTTTGGAGACAATGAACTGCCATGTAGTGGCAGATCCGATCGACGAGTTGCAAAAGAGTCCCGTGAGTCAGCAGCCACCGCCTATGTACATGAGCCACGATTAATTGTTGTTTGCCCCCAAAAGGACATGGTCAAAGTTGTTAGTTTTCCTGGCTTTTGGGGGAAATTCAGTGAGTGACTGTGAGTGACCCATATCCCTCCCGAATGGACCACAGGCTACCGGAAATTCTGACCGAACCTCACATCACTATGTGCGGAATCTGCAGGAAAAGCTCAGCCACAGATGCAAAAGAAGGTGTACCCTCTTTCCAACAATCAAGGAGTGGACAGGGAGGCTCCCTGAAAGGCAAGTGGTCTTTCCACAATTGGAAGAAGGGCAATTGTTGGAAGGAGGGCAAGTAGATGTAGGCTATCAAACAGCAAATTCGCCCATGAAACATAAGTTCACCTGTCTGGCCGCCTTTACGAATTCGAGGAACACTCTCTCAGAGAAGGGAGCTGCTTGACAGCAAGGTCTGCACTGCTTTGACCGCCTAGGCGCACTCTCGGGCTGTGAAAATCTGCTGAAAATGCGAACTTGCGAGGTGCCTCCGGCCATGTAGCAGCCACGCACTCGATCACCATGACATCCTTCGCCCACCTTGCGAGGCGTGTCATGTGGCGAGATTTGTCCCAGTGGCTCGTTCAGCTGGTAAAGATACTAAGATTGTAACTCCTGTAAAAAAAGCTCGTGTATCACTTTCTAAACCTACAGTTTTCATATGATGTCCCCAAACAAGACTTCCAAGAAAAGAAATAGATGACATGGCAAAGATCATTGATGATCTCAAAACGGCGGCAACCCAATGAGGGCTCCCAACGAAAACGCACCGAACGACCCATGATGCGTCCGCCTCTCGGCTGCTGCCCTAGTTCTTGGGCCGTTGGTGTCGCACAACACCACCACCTGTCAGTGCTTTCGAGCAGCTAACACAGCCATCGATTGCATAAGACGCTTCATGGCCATGGCAGTCCAAACGAAATACCCTCAGAGTGGACAAAAAAGAATCGAAGTCAGAGTGGGCAAAAACGAAGTACCTTCTGTGCATTGAGCGTCCGCCCAAAGACCCTTTGCGTCCGTCACGGAAGCCGCCTTTAAGGGCGGCATGTGCACTGCTTCCTGCAAAAACTTAACCTCAGCAAGCAACACGCGCGCATCCCGATACCCCGCTGGCGTTCCGCTTCCACAACCCTTGAGTCACATGCTCAAAAACCCGGTATTAAAAAACGTCGTAATCCCAGAACCATGCTTCAAGAATCAAGAAGGCGGACATCCGCAGCTATTTATTGCAAGGGGACTGGCCCTTGCGAACCTTCATCCACCCGAATCAGTTTTGAGCACGTGGCTCAACTGGGCCCATTGCCCCTCAATCTATCCGCATGGCACGTCCCCTTCAATCCCCGAGTCTCCGCATCTCCGGGCTCCCTGCCAGTTCCTGGGCGTTGGCCCAGGAGACCAGGAAGACCAGCGGCCGGGCCTGGCCGCGGCGACGCGCGCGCCGAGGTGACACCAACGCCGCTGGCCTTCTGAAGGCTCCTGCCCCTTTCAGCTCTCACCCGCTGCTTCTTTTTCAGCCTGGCGCCAGGTTGATGTAGAAATGAACTGCAAAACTATGAGCATTGCTGCATTTAACTACATAACTGCATCAATCCTCAACTGAACTTCTAGTTTGCTTCATTTTGCCAGTACACGCCGAGCTTTGAACACTTTGGTACAGGACGCCCATGTGTTGAAACATTTTGACAGTCTTGAGCTCCAGCTTAGGCTGCGGCAGTCTGATGCACTTCTCAGCCGTCTTATGCGACTGTCAGGAAATGTTGGGCTGGCGTGCACAAGCCAACAGTCCAGAGTCCCACGCCTTCGCAGTCATGCCAATGCCCGACTCGAGCTCGTCGCGTAGCCTAACTGCCAGCTCAATCGCCATCGTCTTTGACCCCTGGGGCTTTGCTCACTTCAACCAAACCTCTCTCAACCTGCTTCAAGCCAGCGACCCCTGGAACTCGTGCTTGAACGCTCGTGAGTCACACCAGAAGACCTGCGGTCACTTCTCCCCCGATGCGCGATGCGCGCATCGAGCCGCGCCTGGTGCGACTTGTCGAGGTTCGACGGACGTTGGGAGCTCTGAGCCTTGAACCGCGCACTCCATGAGACCCGGGTGATGGGAACCATCTATGTCTACCGGACTCAAAAACGGGACATCTCCAGCATCTTCATCCCAAAAAACAGGGACCTCTAAAAGGGACATCTCCAGCAAGTTACATCTCTTGCAGGATGGACCCATGGATCTCAACAAACTCAAATGTAAACTCCAAATTAAATCTCTTGTAGGTTATGGACATCTCCCCACCAAAAGGGATATCTCCAAAAGGGTCAGGGATCTCAAGAAAGTCAGCACATTCAGGACCAAGACCTGCGGTTTGCCCCTCCGATCGTTTCATTTTGAGCCACACCCATGTAGGGAAATGCCAACTTCTCTTTCGCTTTTTCGCTCGGCTCAGCTCCGTGCGGTCTCCCCGGGCTCAGCCTCTCCACTGCTGCCTGCTGTGGTGCTCACTGGGCTGGCCTTGGACAAGCCGTGCTGGTGCGATGGCTAGGGACGGAGGGAGTGAGGGAAGGAGGAGTCCCTTAAAGGAAACTACAAGGAGGCCATGAAGCTGGGGGGTCCCTGAAAGGAAACCACCAGTTAATGAAGGGGATTCCAGCTTGAAGGAACTGTCTGGCTTGAATGCAACTGTCGTCTTCTCATTGGAGTCCCGAATGAAGAAAACCACAAGAGAATGAACCCAGGGATTCCCGAATGAAGGAAACCGCCAGTTGGATGGCTTATAGGGGTCATTCCATTTCTCACTCCCTGCCTATCGCACCAGCAAGAAGAGTGGGGTTCCTCCGAAATCCTCCGAAAAGGTGGTCTGGACAGCACAAATTGACAAACCTCACAGCTCACATAGCCTTGACCTTCCGTCACTGACCCGACACATCCCGAGAGTCACCAAGCCCCTAGCACTGCGGCACCGGGGATGTGAAGACGATGCAGGCCTGCGGCAAACGCATCCTGGTAGAAAAAAGGACCCCCAAAGTCGATCATTTGGCTGTGATAGTCAAAACCCTATATCTTTGGTCAACCTCAACATAGGTGGCAAATGGATGCTCCTCCACCCCAAAATGGAGCCATAGGTTCTGCCCCATGGCCATAGGTGGACCTTTTTATCCCAACCTAAAAGACGTCCACCAAAGGGACCCTAAATAGAAATCAGATCCATGTGATGTGGATGGTTCCCACCCATAGCTTATGCCCCATGGCCTCTGTCCTGGCAGCAACCCAGCTGGCTGAGGCTGAGCCTGCAAACCGTCAGCCAGTGCGAGGTCACAGTCACTGCTACAGCTGCTGCTGCTGTTGATTCTTGTTTGTATTGTTCATGTTTGGTTGTTTTGGGTGTTGTTGTTGTTGTTGTTGTTGTTGTTGTTGTTGTTGTTGTTGCTGCTGCTGCTGCTGCTGCTGCTGCTGCTGCTGCTGCTGCTGCTGGTGCTGTTGCTGTTGCTGTTGCTGTTGCTGTTGCTGTTGCTGTTTGCAGTTTGCAGTTTGCAGTTTGCAGTTTGCAGCTGCAGTTGCAGTTGCAGTTGCAGTTGCTGTTGCTGTTGCTGTTGTTTTTGTGTTTGTGTTTGTTGCTTGTTGCTTGTTGCTTGTTGCTTGTTGCTTGTTGCTTGTTGCTTGTTGCTTGTTGCTTGTTGTGTGTTGTGTGTTGGTTGTTGGTTGTTGGTTGTTGGTTGTTGTTGTTGCTTGTGGTTGTTCCAATCCCCCAGAGCAAACATGGCCTGTGTGCCCACGGCGCCAGCGGGGATCGGATGAGGACCAGGCACTGGACCTGTTGGAACGGGTCTAAAACCTATTCGGGCTTCAAGGGGTTGGAATGAGACAAGTGGCTTCAAGGAAATCACCAGGTTTCGAAAAGTCAGGTGGTTTCAAGGGTTTCAAAAAGCTTGAAGAGGTTTCAAGCAGCCAACTTTGATTCGAACATCAAGTCTCAAACTCATCCAACGCCTTTGCATTTTATCAAGTTCATATCCATTTGCCAGGCCTGCAGGGAGCGGTCCGGGCTTCTTCTCACTGGAGCTCTGGCGCTTCTTGGCATGGGAGAAGCGGCAGGCGTCCCCGTACTTGCACGTCCCGCGGCTGTGCCATTTGCACGGCGAGGTCTTGATGGGTGTCATGAAACTCGAGCCCTTGGAGGTACTCGAAAGCGGGTCGGCAAACTGCTGGTTCGGAAGAATCGCTAAGGTTTGTGCGACTCTGTGCTCGGCCAGCTTTGAGTCGACAAACATGTTGTGCTGCGAAGGCATCAGGGGAATCTCAGTCCCAGACTTCTGGGTCTCCGAGTCATGGCAAAGCGGCTGGGCCAAAAGATCCATCTCCAGACTATCCTCTTGATAGCTGCTGGTCCTGGAATGGAATCCGCTGATTCGCTCCCTCGGGGTTGGAAAAGATGGAATCGGCTCTGAGGCACATCGCAGGTGTCCTGGTTTCCATGCGGCTCGGGTCGTGGGATCGCAGTGGTCGGAGCCAGACTCATCAACCTCGATGAAGGTGTTGCGAACCCTCACGTTCACATTCTGCACGTCCCAGGCCGGCGCGGCTGCGACGTCGGCCAGCTGCGCGTCCAGCTCCTGATCCTCCTGAATGGTCCGCGATCTCTGCCTGGCGTGCCGGAAGCGCTGCACTGGCATGCTGAGCGTGGCGGATCGCCAGTCGGGGGATGGAAATCCCTCGTCTGCTGTGAAGCCGGAGCTGGAGGCGCCCACATCAACCAGCATGGGTTCGCCGCGCCAACGCTCCACAGGTCGCACATCCACATATCTCGGAAGTTGTGCGGGATGGGACATGGAATTCCTGACATGGTCGTCGTACTCCTCCAAAGACTCTTGAATGGTCGGGGAAACGTGCGGCTGTGAGCGAGACTTTGGGGCTGTGATTGCCCGGCCTCGCTCTGCGGGGACATTTCGGCCAGAATCGCTCTGCAAAGTCCCACTTTGCATGGCAGGAAAAGGCGAAACCGACAGACTCATATTGAAAGACATGGGCTCGGAAGCGCAACGTAAATGCCCGCGACGCCAAGTGCGTCCGGGCGCATTGTGTAAATCTAGACCAGAGAGCGCACGCTCTGCATGCGCAAGTTCTTCCTCATCAACCTCGATGAAGGTGTTGCGGACGTGAACCCGAGTTTGCCAGGTCTTGTCAAGCCCCGGAGGGGCACCGGCACCTAGGCCCTCTGACCACTCGCCATGGCACGACATGGAAACTCGAAAAGCCTTCTACACCGCCTGCGATGTCAAGGTCTTGCCAAGCATGTGCGACTGGTGAGTTTTGGAGGTTGCTCAGCTGTTCACCAGCTCCTTTGGCATCTGCACATGCTTCCTTTGGCATCCTTCAGCTCACCGCAAACCTTCGAGCAAAATAGGCTCAGTGCATCGCTTGAGACGTTTCATTGGTGTAAGCCGCTGCTTGAGATGTTAGATTGGCGTCAGCCCACGCCCGCAGATTTTCAGCAAGCAGGCCTTCTAAGAAGGACACGAAACCAAATTCTCCTATCTCTGGCGTCTCAAACGGCCCTTCAAAGGCCAAACGGCCCTCTAAACGGCCCTCTAAACGTACCGTGTAATTTGCATTAATTTCATGAGAACAAGTCTCAAGCATGAAAACTGACCCGCGGGTCTTGCGCGCTCAGGTTGGTGTGTCTGCATGGTGCAGACAGGCTACCAGCCTGCAGGATCCAAGACGACATGCTGCAGAAATGGGGGGGGGGAGTGTTTTTTTCTTTAGGGGACCCCTCAAATATCTTTTTTTGGTTCCTTTCACCAGGGGAGTCCCTCCCCCCAAAAAAAAAGAAAAAGAAGAAGACGCGCCCATGTGGACATCCCAGCCTCCATAGCAATTCCTTGCAGTGAGCGGTCGAGCAGCCTGACCCAAAGCCAAGTGATTAACCGTCACCATGTCAGGCACCTGACACATTTTCTGCGAAACCAGCATCTTCGCCGCTCTTTCCCGAAACCGCAGAGATGGCTGTGGGTCAAAACCAATGGTAGAATTTTGGGGTAGGTGAATTCACCACCCATGTTAGAACCTATTTTAGTGGTTGGATTGGTTGATGTTCACTGGGGGTACGAAATGTGGATTTCTGACCCATGGCCACATGTTGAGGGGCTTCTCCAAAAAGATAACAATTTGGGAGTAGCTTCCCTTTGACCCATGGCCAGATTGCTTTTGCTTCGGTGGTTTGGTTTCGGAAAAACCGTGTTTCGCCGCCTGGCGCGAGAAGTTCTGCAACCAACTCAGGTGGTGGTCCACCTCCCGGGAGCTTCGGCTACGTCGACCTCGGGCAGCGAATTCTTGGAGTTCCCTGCCTGGACCAAAGCGAAGTGGCTATGCAACATGTTTGATGAAAGTGATGATGATGGTGTTATTATCATCAGTATTACTATCATTATCATCATGTTCATCATCATCATTATTGTCATCATCTATGTCCTATTCGTCTGGCTACAAAAAGCATGGCGTTTTTCCAGCTGGAATCTAGGATCAAGAGTCACATGGCCATTGGTCAAAACCCAAAGCCCGTACCCCCAGGAAACATCAACCAATCCAACCACTAAAATAGGTTCTAAAATGGGTGGTGAATTCACCTACCAACCAAAATCGGATAACATGGGTGTGGACCCAAGGCTAAGTGCAAAGCTGGCCAAAGGCGAGGTGGAGCGAGCTGCTCCTACAGATTTGGCTAAGCGGTGACACCCAATGGCCAAGCGAAAGTGACAAATGTTTTCAAACTCACAAATCAAGTTCTTAAGGGCGTCTTCTGTGGATGGACGAAATCCTGCACCAGTTGGTCGGTTTACCCCAATATTCACAGAGTTTGATCCCTCCCGGGTGCATCATTTGGCCCATCCGCAGCATGTGTGTGTGAAGGTTTCTTTTCGAGGGTACCCGTTCTTGGTTTCACATGGAAGCCAGCGGGCAAGCCGAAAACCGTTTTTTGGGGGGTCCCTAAAAAAACACGAGCCACCCATCGACACACAGAAGGCGGGGGGGTTCATGGCATGAACTCACTCCTCCGAGTTGCGGCGACCTGTCGGACGAGTCAAGTAGCCGGAAACAAAAACTGAGTCACAATCAAAACCCGGTATCAAAAATGGTCGTAATCCCAGAACCATGCCTCAAGAATTGAGAAGGCGGATATCCGCAGCAAATTACGGTTGGATTAGCCCTTGCTAACCTTCATCTACCCGGGTTTGGAATGCGGCTCAACTGGGCCCATTGTAGTCGACAAACGCAACAAAGAGGTCCGACGTGGTAGTCCAAAGGGAAACCACTCCCAAATTGCTATCCTTTTGGAGAAGCCCCTCAACATGTCGTGGCTATGGGTCCAAACCCCATACCCCCAGTGAACATCCCAATCCCCACTAAAATAGATGGTGCACCTACCCCAAAATGTACCTTTGACCCTACTTCGGGATGGCCCCTTACAAAGCTTGACAGCAAGCTCGCCTTCTGGGCGGCTCACGCCCCAGGATGTGCTGCCTCAAAGCTCGCATGCCACATGACTGCTGTGTCCTGTCCTGAGGCAGCTGACCAACGACGCAGAACGTTGAGGTCCTCGACAGCGATTTTGAAGGAATGGAAAGTGGACCTTTAAACCTTGAACCTTGCCAGTTGCATTGAAATGCCAAGATGTTCCAGGCCACAAGAACTTGACTATGCTTGACTCCGTCGTCAAACACTGCATGGTCATCGTCCTCATATGTGCTCAGTGGATACGCATCACGACGCTCTTGCTTTCCTGGCCCGCATGCATTCGGCATGAGACAAAACCATCGAACGTGGCCAACGCCTATGAGTCCGTCTCAACACTAGGGAACCCCCAACTCCGGGTTCGTGTCCCTGTAACGCATCCCAACATAGCCTCAAGAAACCGGCAGCTCCGCAACACTCCCCACGGTCCTGCAACAGACCTGCCAGGCTCAAAGGTCCGGACCCATGGGGACCCCATCAAAAAGCTGCGCGGATTTCTCTTTCCAACCGCTGAGGTGGTTTCTTCTCGCTCAAAATCCATGGCCAGTGACCTTAGGTCGCTCCAAGGAGCGACCAGTTTTTGCTTCCATGCCGGAGTTGCAACGCACTGCTCCGGCTCCTGCGCGATTTCGTGCGAGATTCGCCCGATGGTCAATACGTCTAGTCATCAACCAGATAAGTTCAGGTAAGGCTTTGGGACAGTCATTGGGTGTTGATGACGCATGGCACATGTCAGCCGACAAAAGCTGCTGCATCGCATGCTCTCGTCCTGGGAGTAATCGGTGCTCCTCCGGTGTCCCCGCGGGCAGCCTCAAGCGATTGGCATGCCGACTTCGACCAAGCGGCGACTTCGCGCGTCGCTTTGCGCTTTTGGAACGCCCCACCCCACCCCACCCCCGGCCTTCCAAGCTGCTGTGAAGCGCTCAGCGCCCGTTCCCTGCGTTCAGGACAAGCAACTGGTTGGACTGATTCAGCAACGAGCTCCGAAAACTGGGAGGGGCCCTTAGAATCGAGTTCTTCGACAAAGGTCTCCTTCACCCGAAGCACCGGGCAACATGTCCCTCGATCCTCCCCCTCCATCCCGCGGCCTGGCGAGGTGTACCTGACAGCAATCGACACGCCGCATTCGACAACGAGGAAAACTGGATGCGAGTCCCAAACCTCGAAGAGCTTCTTGGATGACGCGGTGCTCGGCTATGGCCCTGAGACAAAGACAACAGCCATGTGCCAGAGTTGTTTTTTGCCAACACTGGAAGCAAACATCAGGCCAGGTTGCGGGCTGCAACATTCTAGGTTGTCATTGTGTAAGTGGTGTGTTGTGCAACACAAGCTGACAACTGTTGCATCGCTGCATTCCGTCGTTTTACTCCGCAAAGCATGTCTTGAGCATTGCAGTTCAGCTTGAGATGTTTCAAGGGCCCAGCCTGTTCAAGGTACTGGTTCGCTCGTCAAGTGCTGCTCTAGCCTCTTGCAAGAGCGCCTGCGACGTGACAATTTGGACAGATGAAAGCCGCCAGCTTCCCGCCTGCTCTCGGGATGCACTGGATGAACGAAGCCGCTGCCTGTCACTCAGACGACTCAACGAAGAAATCTCCGGGGCACCTTCCCCCGCAAATCAGGCCACATGCACGCATCGTGCTTCCATTGCCGCCGAAGCCTGGCATCTTTCAGCAGGAAAGTACGCGACTCAAGTCTCTTGGCCGAGGAATCGACTCCAAGATACTCGCCCGCTCTTGTCGCAGCCTTGGCCCCCAAAGATGCGAAGGCCTGAAGCACATCACTTGGAGTGTCTTTAAACGGACCCCGCACCTTTGAAACCCCGTGGCCCCTCTTGCAACAGTCCGAACTGGGGACATCCCTTCAGGTTCTATGGAACTCGAGGGTTGATCCCATGGGTCATGGCTTGAAGTCTTTGCTTTTTGCACCGTTGGGGACTGAGGCGTTTGCTTCAAAGTAGGTCCCCGGCTCCTTCCTTCTTGCCTCCAGCAGCGCAGCTGCCTACGCAGCGAAACCCACAGAAGACGCGCGGGTTGAGTACTGTAGGTCCCGCCTGCCCTGAGAAGTTGTCGCACAGATCGCCTACTTAAGCTAGCACAAGGTGCGACAGACCCAAATGAGTCACAATGAAAACCCGGTACTAAACTGGTCTATCCAGAACCATGCTTCAGGAATTAAGAAGGCGGATATCCGCAGCTATTTATGGTTGGGCTCGTCCTTTACTAAGCTTCATCTACCCGAATCGGTTTTGAGCAAGTGGCTCAACTGCCCATTGTGCCTTCAACGCTCTTCCCCGGAGAAGCGGCCTCAACATGGAAAAGTTGACAAAGATGCAGGTGAGTCATGCTGTCCCTCGCCTCCTCGCACTTCTTCTCACTGGTGTTTTCCCACCTGACCACGGTGTGTCTTGCTGGAATGCAGGTCAACGGGCTGGAGATCGCCCGGTATTTCCGGCAACCGCGGGAAAAACGAGCCGTGCCATGGCTTGTGGTGAAAGCTGCTGTCCAAGCCAGCTGCCAATCTCCAGGCACTGGAGGTATCTCACGCACCTTCCATGGCTGAGTCCAGCCCCCTTGCGACATGTTTTATACTATCTCCACAGCCGTAGCCAGAGGGTAACCACTCCCTTCCCCTGGCCGAGGTGCTGAAGAGACAGCTTGTAAACCGGCAAAAATCAGCTCTGCCACAGCCTCCTCACCAATCTCGTCCAAGGCTTCTATGTGGGATTCTGAGGCAAACAGCGGGAAACCACGACGAAGCGCTGAACGCCGGTCTCGAATGGCTAAGCTGCACGCCGTCGTCCAGCTCTCTGGCCTCCTCAAGCGCGGCCTTCGGACCAACGCCAAAAGGCGACCGCAAAACACGGCACAAAAACAATCAGACACAGAACCAATGCCAACACAACCGCAACGGCCAACGCAACCAAAAACAAACAAACACACACTTGACACACAAACACATACACCACACAACCAGACAAACACACACTCGAAAACTGGTATGCTTCAGCTTGCACGAGGCGAATATGAGTTGCCTTGGCAAAGTAAGGGCGCAACGTCGCTCTCGGGCTGCATTGTCTGATCTTCTGGCTCGTGCTCCGCTCCCAGATCCAGATCCTCAGATCGCTTCTTTTGGAAGTGGAACGTGCAGCGCACGTCGACACCACTGGCAGTACCATGAATCCAGTCTTTCCGCATGTGACCAGCACACTACTCAACTTTGTGAAGCGGGCCTCGATGCTACCGTCCGATTGCACAATACTTGACGACTGAACACAAGCCATCAAGCACCGCCCAGTTTCTGTCAAGTCTTTTGTTGTGGAATCTTGCAGTGGTATCTTGCAAGCCGTTTCAGACTGTGTTTGGCATTGGGCGGCTGCCCTAAGCCGCAGTTGGTTGTCAGCTGGGTATGGGTCAATATCAAACCACCAAACAACCGCAGGTTTTGGTCCATGTTTCCATTCAACAGGGTTCCATTTTGGGCACCTTTTTTGACCCACAGCCAGCTGACTTGAAACACCTCACGCATCAAACATGGAAATTTTGTTCACTGGGTACCGACAGCAAATTCTTACCTCAAGAGCCCTCCACCGAGTAAAACTCAAACAACTGTGAGGAAATCAGTGGGGCTTTGAAATCACCAAACTCGTCAACACGTCCTAAAGAACGACCGTACAAGAAGCCAGAACGAAACCCATGCCCAAAAAATCTCCAGAGATCGAGACACAAGCTGCAAGTACTAACTACTGAAGTCACTTAAGTACCACTTAAGCCAGTGATGCAAAGGGCGAATCCCCCCCGCGAGGAAACGTCCAAAACACGCGTCGCCCCAGGAGCCGCGCTGGAGACAGCTGGGAGAGCTCCACAGCCGTGCGGAGGCCTACGAAACGAACCCAGCGAGCGACTGGACGACTGGGCGTTCGTCAAAAGTGACGACTGGGCGTCGCCTTTTTTGGGGGAGAGGAGATCTGATTCTTTTGGTTTGTGTTTGTCTTCATTGCTTTTTTTTGGGGGGGGGGGCAAGGAGGGTTTAGGTGGGGGTTAAAAAATGAGCCCCTTTACTTCTTTCTTTTTGGGGGGAAGGGTTGAGGAGCTTCAAACAAAAAGCCCTTCCGCCAGAAACATCCCGGGGCCGCACCCCAAGCCCGAAACCTGGCTCCTTCTGACGCTTCCGCGCCTGTGACTGCCATGTGGTCCTCTTCCTCGAGAAAACCCAAGCGCCGCCGGGCGAGGTGGGTGGCTTGTCGGGGATCCTCTTGGGGGATCCCTTTTTGCGGTTTGATTTGGGGAAACCAAGAGAAACATCAAATGAGTTAGTGCTTTTAATTCCCTTCTAATCCATATGACACTATTCCGTACCTTTACATATGTAATGTAATGGATGAGCAAAAAAACGCTGCTCAAAATGGAAACCGACATGAAACCTGTCCATGTCTGTCGCTTGAGGTGGGACCTTGAAGGTCGCCCGCGCTCGGGCCTGACGCTTCTCCAAGCTTCGCGCTTCCTGTCACAATCACCACTCATCGAATGGCTGATTCCTTTCAAGGGACACAGGTGCCACCGCCTTTCAAAGGGGGATACCAAAAGGAGTGTTGACAACCCTGCTTTGTATCAGGAAAGCTGCGAGAAGCAAACATGTGGCACGGTTGATTCCTGAGCGGAGAACAGTGAAAGAAACGGAATCGGCAAGGCTTGGAGGTTGTCCAAAAATGTGCTGTTCCCAGATCCGCCGCCAAAAAATCATGGAAACTACCACTAAGCCCTAAGAAGCTAAAAACCTGTGGGGGTGCCGGGGCACCCAGAAAAACGGATCTCGGTTTCCTCCAACCTGAAGAACCTCGGATCCAGGGAACTTGGCGCCCGCCGAAGCGCGAGCCTGGCGGGCGAGCTCTGCATCTTGGTCCTCCAGCAAATACCTCTGCTTCCTCACCTGGCGAGTTTTGGCTCAAAATACGATGCTCACCCCCGCCCAACCCCCCAAAAGAAAAACAAAGAAAGAAGAAAAGGCAAAAAAAAGCGCGCACACACACACACAACAAGTTGGTTCCTTTCCTTCCCTGGAGACCAACCCCAATTGACCGCCAAGAATACACGCCCGGTTCTGCATTCGGCACCACTGGAGCACTGCATGCCGCACCCCCTGATGCCTCATTTCGCAGCGTCTCTGACTCCGCTGCCTTGCAAGTGGCAAGTCCGGACCAATCTTAGCAACCAATTTGGGTGTGCCGTTCTTTTAGGGTACCCCTCCAAAAGAGTGGTTTTCCTTGGCTCCCTTACAACACATTCACACACGCAGCACACACACACACAAAAACTCCCCCCCCCCCAAAAAAAAAAAAAAAAAACAAGAAGAAGTGGCTTTCCTTCTCCCTTTAAACACAAACAAAAAAGGGAACGTCTTCCTCCACAGAAAAACCGAGCCACACAAAGTGCAAGCGGCCCCCACCTGCTCCTGCAGCTGTGCTTTCAGCACCTCAGCTGCGAAAACTCCTTCCGGATCAAAAAGTTTGGGGTTCCCCGCTCGAAGCTCCCGCTGGTACTCGCGGGCCTGGCGAGAATGGATGAAGCCTGTCCATTGACACGGAAGCCAAAGGGCCCTTTGAATTTAAAGGAAGATGATCTTCCAGCAAAACCCTCCCTCAGGTTCCTTTTCCATGTTAAAAGGGCAGGAGGGAAAACCCTGAGGCACACAAGAGAAAGCACTGCCTCACCGGAGTCTTGCATTTGAGTTTGTTGCTTAGATCGCTCGGACCCTGTGATTTGATGGGTTCCACGCCTGTGATTCTGCATGGCCACGGCTAGAGCGCTCGGCTCTGACCGCTGCTCGTGCCTCCTGCAAATCAAATCCGAATCACTTTTTCCTGGGTCACACTGGACAGCGTTCATGCTTTTCATGCCATGTCTCTGCTTCAGGTCTGCCGACTTTCTCAAATCGATTCGCTCGCCCAAGGAATTTGGGCAACTTGATTCAGCCGTGTAGGATTGACAGCCTTGCCCCACCAGCGCACACACTCCAAGGCTTGCATGCCCGACAGCCTCAGCCTAACCCCTCAGCCTTGAACCAAACATTCCGCAGAGCACTGCAAGACGCAGCGCAAGACGAGGTGTTCAATATCTGAAGGTGAAACCGTGCACAAGGCTGAAGCCAGTACCATGTGTAGGAGCTTTGGATTAAATAGAAACTTGATGTCTGGCCTTTCTTCCCAGTAGTGCAACCACTGGAGCAGCGCCCAAACCTGTTGACCTTCGGTTCTGCCAACATGGGTCATGAAGGCTTTATAGCCCTGAATTAATTTCTGTACCCCGGGGGGGAGAAACAAAAAGGTAGAACCACCAAACATGGCCAATGGAGGTTGTGGGCTCTGCCCACTCGTAACCCCTCCTCACAGCGGCGCTCGACATCTGCCACCTTGAGCAAAGAACGCTGCTTGCCAAACGCGTCATCTGAGGCGCCTCTTCATGCGCCAACTTGCTCGCCTGCTTTGCCTGAAGCAGAGCATCTGAAGCTGACTGTGCCACTTCAGCAAGAAAACAACTTGAGTGTGTCTTGACTTCAACTAGGGAAGTTCCTGTTGATCTTTTTTGAAACCCTTTCAAAACAAATGGAAAAAAAGGAAAACAAAAGGCAAAGACATTAAAAGCAAAGGCATTTGTCTCATTGGACACAACATCAATTTGTCTCATTCCATCCTTCTTGCGAAACCAACGACTCAGACTTTCCACAACTTCTGCGCCTGCTCCAGCTCCTCTCTCAGCGCCTCAGGCTTCCGAACGAATGGAGGGGTCGGAAGGAACGAAGCAAATTCCTTCACCTACAAGTTGAGAAACCACACGTTGAAAACCACAAGTTGGGTCAGTTGGAAAACCACAAGTTGAGAAAAATAAAAGACAAAAAACAGACCTGCGCACACACACACACACACACACACACACACACACACACACACACACACACACACACACACACACACACACACACACACACACACACACACACACACACACACACACACACACACACACACACACACACCACACACACCACACACACACACACACACACACACCCACACACCCACACACCCACACACCCACACACCCACACACCCACACACCCACACACCCACACACCCACACACCCACACACCCACTACACACCCACACACCCACACACCCACACACCCACACACCCACACACCCACACACCCACACACCCACACACCCACACACCCACACACCCACACACCCACACACCCACACCACACACCCACACACCCACACACCCACACACCCACACACCCACACACCCACACACCCACACACCCACACACCCACACACCCACACACCCACACCCACACACACCCACACACCCACACCCACACACACGCACGCACGCACACACGCACGCACCCACACACACACACACACACACACCTTGGGTGGGTGTGTTAAACCATCATTTCTACACTGTCCTTCACTGTTGCGGCAAACCAACGGAAAATCAGCATTCACAGGGGCCGAATGTTTCACCTCGCGAAGGCGCCTCTTGACCCTTGGCGGTGCGACCCTCCTCCTGCTGAACACGGCGCACCTGAAGCCGGGGATCCAGAACTGGTTTGCCCCAAAAGGCGACGGCGCCTATTTGTTGGGACACACCTTCATCTATCCAGATTTTGATTGCGGCTCACATCCCTTTAGAGAAGTCTGCTCTGGGGGTTGGCCCTGGGTCCCTGTCAGTCAGATTTCGAGCGTCAAGCAAACTGAACTTCTGGAGCCAAAACATGTGAACCTCTGACAATTCAAGCAAACCCGCCTCGCGTGCGAGCCGCTCGGCCTGCAATTTTCGAGCTTGGCCCCCGGGGTCGAGTCATGTTGGTCCGATTGTTGATACATCATGGCCCGCCCGAAGGATCTTTGACTGGAAAGTCATTCTTGGGGAGCCTTCGAATGGCGCCTTCACTTCCTTGGAGCAACAAACACGCCGTCTTGACACATTCCCACACGAGCGCGCTTTTGTGAGTCAGTGAGGGAACCCCTTTCATCGTTTTTGCGTGGGGTTTCCAAGAAAGACACCCGCCCGCCCATGTTCAAATCCCCGCAGGGCCTTCTCCTTGGCCAAAGACGCCTCCGTTGCTCGGCTTTGAAGGTCTGCCTCGAGCACTGCCGGCCATCCCCTTGAGGTCTTTCCGCGGGAAGCGGGCTGTCAACCCTCAAGCAACAAAACCAGGCCTGAATAGGCCGGTGTGAAGAAAACCCGAAGGCCGGTGGGCCCACAAGCGCCGCGTTTTTGTGAAACACTGACATATTGACGTGCCCCGCCTGGAGTCGATCCACCTCTTGCTTCCACTCATCTGTGACGGCAGCCTGAGACTTAATTTTGTGAGCCTGCGGATGTTTTGTTTTCCCGCACAAAAATTGGCTGATGTGTTTCCCGCACCAACATTGCCTGTTTTGCATTCCTGCAAAAAGGGCTGGAACTTTTGTGCAATTGCTGACAGTTGCCCTACATTTCGCCGACCTTTTGCACACCTAACTTTTGATGCTTCACTTGAGTGTCTCCCAACCCCCCCCCTCCCCTTCCCAACCCTGCAACCGTATTACGAGTGTGCCTTTTCTTGAGGGTACCGCTTTTTTGGTGGCTTTGCAGGGACACCGATTTGCGGGTCCCCTAAAGACCGACATTTTCATATGTCTCCGTGAGCTTGGGCTGTCCTTGGCGGCTTCGATGTTGGAGCTTTCTCGCGCCGCTGCGCGAGCCTACGAGAGGCCCGGAACTTGGAAATTGCGCGAACACTCCTGGAATCAACGGCTATAAGCCGATAAAATGGACTTCCTGTCGGGGAGAAAACAAGTAAACGCCCAGGAAAAATTGGAGGATCTCAACCCGGAGCTCAGTGGCTAACACTGGAATCCAAGCGTAGAACCCCTGCAGCAAGTCTCCGAATTTGTGTTCCTTTGAACCAAGCCATCAGGCCAAGCCGTGATCTTCACAAAAACCGCGGGCGAAACAAAAAGGCACCGCCGCTTTCCGCTTGAAGCGGCGCGAAGCGGCTTCCGGCGAGCCGAATCTGGACGAGCCCGGGCCCAATCGAAGCCGCTTCAGACCGCTTGCTGGGCGAGACCGCAATTGGATCCATGTCGAGTTGTTGGCACAACGGGCTCAAAGAAGGCCTTGAACTTCTTCTTCGGATTCGGCAGCTGAAGTAACTTGTATTGAAGATTCAAGACTCAATTGACAGAGATCACAGAGCTGCGTGAAGTATAACCCAAAATAAATCTTTGCGGCTTTAACCCGGCCAAACTTGTCAGACAACAAATACCATCTGCTGGATGCAGCTTTGCTAGTGGGTGTGATCTAGAGCTACACAGCCCAGGCACTGTTTTCTTTTTCTGGCGTGCCAACAACAATTCGATTGAGCGCTTGCTTGTTCGGTCCCCTGCCGTTAGCACGGCGTTTCTTAGGTGGGGATGGTGGGGGCAAGAAGTGCCTTTGGTCGTATGGTACGCTGAACTTCAAGCGCTTCCTGCATGCTGCCGTGATGCTCAAGACTATTTCGCTAATCCTCTTCCTCGCGCTCGGTGTAAAACAGCCGTTTTACAGGGCCTGAAGCATGTGGTCATAGTTTCATTGGGGACCAAAAGTGAAATATATTGCTGTGGGTCAAAACCAATGGTGCAATTTTGGGGTAGGTGAATTCACCACCCATGTTAGAACCTATTTTAGTGGGGATTGGGATGTTTGACCCATGGCCATTTAACTAATGCAACTCGACCATTCGGCTCACTGCGCCTCCACATGTCGAGCTTCGGCACGCACCCGCTCCAGCTCGCTCTTGCTCGCCCTGACCTGCGGAGGAGCTGCGAGAAATTTGGGCATCACTGTGGCTTGGTTTGGGGATTGGGCACTTGGCGATGTCTTGCTTTAGAAAACCCGCCCAAAATGCCAAACAGCTTTCTTTTGGTTTCCCTTTAACTCCAACCAAACAGGTTGGAAGCCAATAAAAGGCACCACCACATCCTTCCGGGGGTAAGCTGACAAGCATTCTCAACCTTGACGAGCCTCAGAGTGGAGCTGTTCCACTTCAGAAGATCGTGCACGCAGATTTGCCTCGAGAAACAAAACCGCCACCATGGCAAGCCCAAAAAGAGGCTGCTGAACAGTGTGAACAGTGATGCACTTTTTGTCCGGTCTGAGCAAAAGGACACCAGCCGGTGTCCGGGTCCTTCTAAGGTTCTGATTCTGTCTACCAAGATACACCATACCTTCTGCCGTACCCTAGATGGCTCCTGTACAATATCTGAACCCAGAACAACAGCTCAGCTGATTTTGGGGTATGTCCTATTAATTCCTTTTCGGGGTAAGGTGGAAAAAATAGGCAGGCCTTAGAGCAGCTGCTTTCGATGTCCCATCATCGAAGTGTTCAATGAGTGCCATCGCATCGCCTTGAGATCGGAAATGACATATGCATTGTCATCGGATCTTCGCTGCCTGGCTCACTCTGAACAGGGAGCGTGGGTTCAAGTGGGTTCGGAGCCCAGAAGGGTGTTTCTCCAAAGTCGAGACTCCTGGCGGTTCGTTTCCTTTTGGTTTCCATGGTCTCCCTAAGCAAACCAGACTGCAGTCCATTTGGAGAAACTCCCAAGCCCCGAGAAGTCGGGGCTGTGTGGTTCACAGGTGAGTTCTCCAACAAAAAGCACTTGAGTCATAATCAAAACCCGGCATTAAAATGGTCTACCCAGGGATTTGAGCAAGTGGCTCACTTCTTGCCCCAGGATTCACAAAACCTGAGCTGCACGACTTCTCGCCTTTCTTCTTGGCGGGCGTCATTCACCTTTGTCTGCAGCTCCTGTCGCTTTGGCTGCGAAGTCGCTGTGGGGTAGCGACTTTTTGCGCACAAAGTGGATTGCCAAACTCAAGATAAAGCGTACATGCCAAAGACTAACTATGCCCAACTCCCAGCCTCGATCTCCTGTGAGTGGCGTGCCGAATTGTGGGCTAGATCCTTGCATGAATCGGCGCACTCACATGGAGCTGAACGTCAGCAACGCTCTGAGTTGACGCAATGATTGGATTGAAATAGCGCCTGACTATGCCGAAACAAAGACTGCCATTCCTCCGAATGTCTGTCAGCATTTACTATTGTGCCAACACCGCCTCTCAACGTAGCAAGCATTGTTTAGTTCAGCCGAACCAGCTTTGCAATGCCTCGAAGCAGGTGTTCGATGCTCTAACCCTCCAAACTATCCTCCTTATCCTCCTTCATTGCAAGCCGCGCCAGCCTTTTTACAGCATTCAGCTCCTTGTCCCTTTGCAGACCCTGGTTCACCAGCACATCTCCACTCAGTCCGGTCATCCTTGCAGCTCTTGGCCATCTGTCCCGATTCTCCGTGAAGGTCGTCTTGGTTGGCGGTGCTTCTTGCGGCTGAAAGGCCTCATGTTGATCAATCCCAGGCAGCAGCAGCGAGCGATACTTCTCGGTCTGCGCGAAGGTCGGGGTCCACGTAGCGCAAGGCGGCGCCGTTGCGCCAGACCGCTGCCAGCACAAACTGCCGGTCTGCGCGAAGCTCTGTGGCTGCATGGGCAAAGGCATTTCCGTTCTGCCGCACTGCTGCAAGGACGATGGTATTGTCGCCTTGCAAGCGCTTGGAGGCAAACTTCAATGCGAGGCCCGATTGCTGCACCGCCATTTCCATCAGCTCCTTGTTGTCGCGCAACTCCATTGAGACATACTGCAAAGCCCGCCAATCCTGCTGCACCGCCGCAAAGCCCAGCTTCTTATCCGCCGCAATCGTCTCCGTGGCGTATCTCAAAGCCCGCCAGGACTGGTGGATGGCCACAGACATAATCTCAGGGTCGCCATAGAGCGTGGGCTTCGCATATTCCAGCGCCACACCATCTTGCGCCACCGCAGCCAGCACCAGCTCTCGGTCTGCCCGGAGCTCATCCGCCACGAACTCCAGGGCTTCCCAGCACTGCTGCACCGCCTCGAGCGCCAAGCGGCGATCGCCGCGCATCTCGTCCGGGGCGTGCTGCAGCATGCGCCAGTTCCGCCGGATCCGATCTGCTAAGGCGGCGCCCTTCTGCGGCGCTTCGGAAATGTCCAGGTCCAGCGTGTTACCAGACTTGACCAGTTGCTGCAGGGTTTCAAACTCGAACAGCTCCCTGTCACCACAATAGAGCTTCTGCACATTCTTAGGAATGCCCGTGATTTTCTCAAGGGCTGCAGCAATGCTGCCAACAGTTGATGAGCGTTGAACGGAGAGCGTACGCTTGTCAGATTTGATGCCATTCACGCAAACACGCAAATGGATTGACGATTCCACATCTTTGGGTGGGGCATTTTCCTTCTGAGTCTTGGCTTGGCTGCTTTGCGTGAAAGGCGAGTCTTCCGGTGCGCTTTGGCACTTCGGGTGCACCTGACCGCTTGCAGTTGCTGCAGGTTTGGTGTTGGTATAGACTGGGTCACTCTCCGGTCGAACCGTTTGAGGCGTCTTCGCCTCCGCACTCTGCTTGCTTCGCTGCTTCGCCGCCGCCTCCTTGAATCGCTTCAGCTCCTGCTCCGCCTGCTTGGCGCGGCTCTCGGCGCTGCGGCGCCGCTTCTCCTCCTCCTCTTTGGCCTCTCGCTCTTGCCTGGCCATGGGGCAAAATCCAAATCGTACCAGTGAACATCCGATTCAATCCAACCACTAACATAGGTTCTAAAATGGGTGGTGAATTCACCCAAACAAAATGGGATCCCATTTTTTTGACAACCACAGCCGCCTCTCCCTGACCTGCCGCGCAAACTCCTCCTGCCGCCGCTGCCTTTCGCGCTCCTCTTGGCTGCGCTGTCGACGCTGCCTCTCCTCTCGGGCGGCCGCACGCGCCCGATCCTCCTCCTGGCTCTTCACTTGCGACTCGCGCTGGAAGAGAACCTCATTGGCTTCCCACCTCCCCTGCACCAACAAGAACAGCTGCTGGGCCTTGGCCCGAATCCTCTCATGCTGCTTGTCCGGATGAAGCTCCAGTTGCAACTTCCGCAGTCTGGATTTCTTGGCACTCACAGGCAGTAGATCAATCTCCCGCAACTCTCTCTGCAAGCGAGCCATGCGACTCTCAAGCCACTCATTGTCCTCCTGCTCTTCTCGTTTCTGCAACTCTTCTCGGAAACGTTGCTGCTGTGCCTCCCACTGGTCCCATTTGGTCTTCTCTCTCTCCTCCATGGAGGCGGTCTGCGCTTCGGGTCTTGCTCTTTCAGCCCTTTCGGCCTCTTTTTGAGCTCTTTCCGAGCTTCTGGCAGGTTCTGAGGCTGTTGGCAAGCTCGAGCCCGCGCTGTCGTTCCTCGCAGCTGGCTTAAATGTAAAATCTTCTCGGGTACTCGGCCTGCTCGGCTTGCTGGGCTCTGCTGGCCTTTTCCCCTGCGACCATCGCGCTGATTTCGAGTCGCCCGGCCGAATATACACTAGCTCTCCGCTAGTCTTCACGCGATCATTGTCATCACCATCCTTCCAGCATATCGTGTAGCTGCCATTCAAATTCTCGCATAGGACAGTCCCTAAGTACCAGCATCCCTGTTGAAATCGAGCCTTCACCACATCGCCCTCCTTGAATTTCATGGATGCGTCTGCCTTCCGGTTTTGCTGTATCTCTTCCGGGCACTCTTCATCCCCGCTCTCCGCTTCGCTGAGGTCCCCAAAATCAAACATGCGCAGCTTCAAGGCGGCGGTCAAAGCACGCTGTCAGAAAACATTGGGTAAACTTGTGCGCATGATAAAACATGCTTATTTTAAGCTTCATGACTTAGATTTGTGCATATGTGATGCATATGTGATGCATATGTGATACCGGCCAATCTGAAACAACCACTCGCTCACTGCAGTAGTAAGTACACTGAGGCATCTATTAAGTTGCACCAGCCTCAATTGACTACGGCTGCGGGATGATTGTGGCAGGCAAAAATACATGTACAAAACTTGGCGCCAGTGCAAAGCATCGCGCGCAAGGAACTTCCGAATCTTAGGTATGCACCGCGCGCAATCGGAGGATGGCGTCATCTCGATCCTGCGATTCGCTGGAGGCCCTGGAAAACTGTCAATTCAACACTGCTCAAGACGTACAAGTTGAACACGTACAACAGGCTCCCAAAACAGGCTCGCCTCAAATCGAGCCCTGGAACAAAAGCACAAACCATCCATTTGTTTGATTTGGCCATGGGTCAAAATCCAAATCGTACCCCCAGTGAACATCCGATTCAATCCCCACTAAAACAAATTCTAAAATGGGCCCCAAAAGGTTGCATTGGTTTTGACCCACCATTTCGTGGGGTACGGTGTTTTTTTTGCTTAACCCTGTCTTTTGCTTAACCCTGTCTCCTCTGGGGCTCAGTTTCATTACCCGGAGCTACTTGGTTGGGACACGCTCTGGACAGTAAGAGTGCAGCAGTTCTCGGCCTTCGGAACCGATTTCCGGATGGGGCATTAGTCACTCCATTGCCTGGCCCCCCGAAAGAGCAGCACACAAAGCCCACTCTGTTTTGGACTTCGGGACCGACTTCTGGAGAATAAAAGGCACGAGAAATTAAAGCCACCAAAATTATCATCATTTGACATGCTGGGCCGCCAGTTCGCGCGGGGGGTGTCTCTCTTTTGCTGTATGTTTGGCATTCACAAGTCCACTCTTAGCCATGCACATGGAAGCTCAATACTGGACGCCCTTGGCTGTCGCGTTGTACTATTGCTGTAGCGGAACAGTGTCTAGGAACCAGGCTTCCGCCAGTACCAGCGGGAGTGCATGGCCAAGAGTGGACTTGTGAATGCCAAACATACAGCAAAAGAGAGACACCCCCCGCGCGAACTGGCGGCCCAGCATGTCAAATGATGATAATTTTGGTGGCTTTAATTTCTCGTGCCTTTTATTCTCCAGAAGTCGGTCCCGAAGTCCAAAACAGAGTGGGCTTTGTGTGCTGCTCTTTCGGGGGGCCAGGCAATGGAGTGACTAATGCCCCATCCGGAAATCGGTTCCGAAAGCCGAAATGCCGAGAACCAACCAACCAACCAACCAACCAACCAACCAACCAACCAGCCAACCAGCCAACCAACCAACCAACCGGGTCGGACAGGGCTAAGCAAAAGACAGGGCTAAGCAAAAAAAAAAAAACATTTCGCGAATTGGCCAAAACCTTGTGCCGTGTCGTGTCTGCCGCCTTGATCATGGACCGGAGCTTGTGCTCATCGGTGCTCGCGCTGCTTCTGTTCGCCTTAAGCCAACTTGGGGATTCCGGCATCGCGCCGCCACAACCCCACACACACACACAGACACACACACACACACCCGCCTGGTGCAGTGTTGCCACCTAGCGAACGTTGCTCCGAGTCAGGCTTGTTTTTCATGACCGGAAAAAAGAATCCACCTCTGTCTCAAGCTCCAGCACTTTGGCACGAAGGGAAACCAGTTCCCTCACCTGGCGAGCTTCAAAGCATGGAGCCATGGTCAACACTTAGGCGGTTTTCCCGGTTTTCTCGGTGGACTCCGTGCACGGAACATCTTCGTAGTTGTCTTTTAAAGGATCCACGACTCACTTGCCCAAAAGACCTGGAAATAAAAGGTTAGCCTTTTGGGACCTTCACTAAAAATGGACCAAAATGGGAAGACTAAAAGGTCAAAAGGTCGGCTTTGGGCAAGTGAGACGACCATCCCTTGGAAAGAGAACCGGCTGTACACCACTCGGCAGTATCTGTCGGCACACGACCCGCCCGCGCCTCATCCTGCGGAAGCGCAGCGCCCGGCCTGTCACCGGGGATGCATCTAGCGCCGATTTTCAAATGGCCGTGGTTGTCCAAAATATGTACCACAAATGGCTTGCCCTGGTAAGTGGAAACATGGACCCACACCTGCGGTCCAATTCCTGGTGGTTTAATTTGGACCCATACCCACATATTTTGACCACAAGCCAAGAGTAGCCCCACTTTCTAACTGGGGTCCCATGTTTTTGGGAGCACAGTTCTCGTTTTGGCCGTTTCAGTACTCTCCAACGGCCTTTGTTTTATGGGCCATGAGTGATTTGGAGGCACGATGTCCTGAATGAGACCGCCAAATGCTCACGCCGTGCTATGAGTCATGATGATCATTCTTGTCTTTTTCAGCTTGTGAGTATTTCTAATGGGTGCCCCCCTGCTGAATTGTCTATTGTATGCTGTTGTCCCCCCATTCCCTGCATATCCATGTCGACAATTAGCACACGATGAAGCCAATGATTAAACCACGTGGCAATGACTCACAATGCTAATTTGGGTCACCAATGACTCACAATTTGTGTTGTTGACTCACAATGACCCCAATGATTCACCAATCCAACAACACAAGTTGAAGGCCCCCCCCCAAAACGGGTGGTTTCCTTTCGGACCCCCTTCAAAGCGCCACCAACGGGTTTTCCCATCCCCGTGAAACTCCCTTTCCGCCTCACGGCCTGAAGCTCGGCTCGCAAACGGCCACACCTGAGGAAAGCCACGCGAGCATGGCCCACAACGCCCGCGCTTCCCAGTTTGGCGCCCAAATCAGATTACCCTCTAATTGGTGCTTTGGATGGGTGGTTTGAGGATTGGAACATGGAGCCACTCCCTAACCACCACCAATCCAAACCATTAGAGGGAAGCTGACCAAACCAAAATGAGAAGTTTGGATGGTCTGCTTTTGGAGCCGGCTGGCCCCGCATGCCCTCTTCAACGCAATACAACAATTCACAGTTCTCATCGTTGGATCAAACGCGATCCATGCATGTGGTTGCTGCTCTTCTTCTTTTGTTTACTATAGAAACAATGAATAACACAAAAATAACACCCCCCCAAAAAAAAGGACCCGTGCCATCGCGCACAAAGCCCATCTGAGTCTGGGACTCCTTTGATCGCACTTCCAGCTCGGCGGCAACTGCCGTGGCCTACCACAAGCTGGCAGCGGGATCTTTCAGCAGCGCGGGACCCGCTGCGACAACTCGCCCGTGCATTCGCTTTGGTGATACAAGGCGATGCAACTCTTGGTTTCCCATGTCACAGTTATTTGGCTGTGGGCCGGTCACAACCGTTGTGGTTGATCCCAGTTTGGTTGGGATTGGTGAATTCACCCAATTTAGAACCTATTTTTTAGTGGTTGGATTGAATCGGATGTTCACTGCGGGTACGATTTGGATTTTGACCCATGCCCATATGGCACTGGCCTGAGGCTTAGATGCACTTCAACCCAGATCCATGACACGGCATTCCTGTGGCATCGTCCAACAGCGCGTCCACAAGCATTGTTTGTTCTTGAATACGAATCCCCCGCAAAAAAGTGTTTCGGGTTCCTTTTGGCGTCCCTTTGAAAACCAATCAAAAGGGTTGGCTTTTCCACCATGTTTGGAAAATGTGATTTGCCTGGAAGAAACCCCCCCCGCGCGACGGCATCTATTTGGCCTGGGCCTTGGTCTGCGCCAAGCTCTCGACCGCCTGAAGCAAGTTGTGGAGAAAGGGAAGCCTTGCTTTTTGAGGGACCCTTGTTAAGATGCGGCTTGAACACCAAGAGAACCGCCTTTAAAGCCATGGAAAGCCTTGGAGAGACCCTTTTTGGCGTGGCTTCAAAAGAGAAACGAGGCCAGCCCGCCAGTTGTTGTCCCACTATTCTGACCCATCTTCCGCACCTCAGCCTTGGCGCGACTTGTGGCCGCCTTCTCCTCCTGCGAGCGGGCATCGAGCGATCCCAGCGATCCGTGGGAACGTCGAGGACCATTTTCAGTTTCTGAACCAGCGCGGGCCGCAAAATAAAGACTCTACCTGCGCCAGGCTCATCCATGAGCCTGGAAAGTCTCTGAAACTTCTCTGCGATAAAGGAAGCGTATGACCTTGTGACATCTCGAGTTGCTGAACAGTTTTCTGCGGGGAATGAACCCTGCTGACATGGGACGAGTTGGTTAGTCCCCTAGCGGTCGCGTGGACATTTGGGTTGTTCGAAACCATGTCCCAAACCAAATGCAGACGGTCACAATCTACCGTAAAAATGGTCAAGCGAAGGGGAACACCAGCACAAACAACTCAAGAACAACCAACATCAACCCACCAAGAACAACAAACCAAACAAGCTTAACCAGCAAAAAGAAAGGTACATTTGTGTGTGTGTGTGTCTTTTAAGGAGAACCCTCTATTCTTATTTTGAACCCAGCCCAAGCGGCTTCCCCTCGCTGCTCGGGCCCGTCCCAAGAGCTGTCCTGAAGAAGAGCTTGAAGCCGCGGCACCTCCGACTCACTGGCCTAGCCGTACTGGCTTCGGTTTGTTGGGGGCTCTTGCGTTGTTTTGTTGTTTTTTTTTGGGGGGGGGCGGGGGATTATTGGGTTCGTTGTGGGGCCACCAATTTCAGGATGTGGCTTCCATGCTCGTTTCGTTTTGGGGGGCCATCTTTCGAAGTGAAGCTGCCATGGTTCGACCTGGGGCTACCGCTGTTTTCCGAACCGAGCCTGATCTGCTCTTGGAACTGGTGAACGCTTAGTCCGTGGTGCCCCCCAAGCAGGACTTCTCAGGTCGCTGAAGACCCATCGGGAAAGGGAACATGAGTCAACACTTGTTAGTTGCCAGTCAGTTCTTGAGCCATTTGCAGGATGTACCCCGGCTACCCCCCAAACCCAATCTTGAGTATCGGCTCGCGTTCGGGTCTGGCTGGTTCTTTTGGCAGGCCGGGGGGAATGGAAGCCCAGCAGGGATCCTTACGTGAAAAACACCTGAACATTGCCTTGTGAATGGCGGTTTCCTTTTATTTTGTTGGAAAAAGCAACATGTTTCAAACGGTTGCAAGATGTAGCTTTTAAGGAGCCCTGCCCAGTCCCCAGCCTTCGGGTGGCTCGGGTTTGGGTTCGGGTGGGGGAGGGGATGGCCATTTGGGTGACTTGCTTCTTGGGGGATTTTCCGAGATGGCTTTGGTCGCTTTGGTGGTCCTTTTGGTTTCCTTTTCAAGGTAGCCTCCTCCATTAAAAACAAAAAACAACTCTTTTGGATGCTTCTCTGAGGGGTCCCCTACGGTGGGATTCCTTGTTTGGTTCCCTTTAAGCCAAGGTGGAACAGGAGGGAGGAACATGAGGAGTGATGGCGACGGATGGCTCGTGTTTCCCTGGGTGAGGATGAAGGGGCTTGGAGGTCGACGCAGGTTTGAGGAGCGTATCATGGACTCAGCACCGACCCTCTGTGACAAAAATAGTGTGGTCATGAAGGTGAAGAAGAAAGGGTCGGTGCTGAGGGTCGGTGCTGAGTCCGACCCTCTGTCATGGGTCTGCTGCTCAGGTCTCTGAAGCCTGAAAAAAAATCGGGCCGTGCCTCGCTCAAGCGGTTGCATGCCGCACGCCACGTGTCCAGCTCGGCCTTCAAAGTGGACACCTGGAGATACGCAAGTTGGCTTTAGGAACTGGCTTCAGTCCATGTCAAGCTGTCCAACTCCGGACGTCAGGGAGCCGCTTTTGACCGCAGATCTGCTCCTGCTTCTTGAAACACTCGAGCTGGACCTTTGTCCGCTGGAGCTTGAGGTGTTCCTTGGCAGACGCCGGGACGCCGGCACCGCGAGGTTCATGACGCAGGCCGCGTCTTCGGCCGCCTCGCGGACCATCCAGTTCTCATCCGACAGGCAGGCGGCCACCGGCGACAGCGCGCTGGCGCGGGTCTTGGGCCCCGACTTGGCCAGAAGAGCGATGGACTCCAAGGCGCACACCGCCATCTGGTCGGAAGAGGACCGGCTGCGAGCCACGGACCTAAACTCTTTGGACAGCCTTTTTTCTATTTGGGCAAAAGGGAAACACAAACCACACAAGTTGAAGCCTTGAACTTGCTATTGGCACCTGAAGTGGAACCAAAGGGGGTTGAAGGCTCAGCCTTTTCAAAGAGCCAAGTGACCCCAACTTGCGCACCGCTTGCACTCCTGCAACATCGTCCTGAATGATGTCTGGCAACGCCTCCATTGCCAATCGCCGGATGCCATCATCGGCATCAGAAACCCGACCACACACGGCGTTGAGCACTTCCGGATGAGCGAGTCGCAGCGCGCGAAGTAGGGCCACAGCTTTTCGCCGGACTATGGCTGATGGATCCTCTGGTCTTTTGGAGAAAAGTCTAGTCATTTCGAGAAAGAAGAAACAATAAAAGAAAAAAACATCTAACAAAAACAACACACACACACACATCATACATTGAATCGACCAAAAGAAAACAGCCAGGAAGCTCTGGAGGCGGCCACGGCCACGGAGACTGCTTGCAGGTCTCCAGGTCCCGCCGCAGTTCTGAGGGCCTCCAGCGCCTCCGCCTTCACGTCCTCGTCGTCGTCTGAGGCGATCTCCGCCAGCAACGCCGCCAGCTCCTGGTGGACAAACGAACTTCCGCGGGGATACGGAGGGAGCGGGATATGGGGGATTCCCTTGGTGCCAGTTCCCATATCAAACTGAATCAAACTCAGCCAAGGTGCATTTAGGGGGAATCCTCCTGTACCCAAATTAGCAGGGATACCTTGGGAAGCGGGGATGTCCGAATATTCCTTGTAAAGGAAACCATGTCGAAATATGATCCAAAAACATATGCCCACATCCCTGCTTCCGCCGCATCCCTGCTTGTTTGTTTGTCCAAGCTCCTGGCTGCGGCCGTGCAGAGACGTGAAGCATCCCGCGGTCTGGGCGGCCGCGATCCGCACGTAGCCGTCGGCGTCCCGCAAGCGCGGGGGCAATGCCCGGACCACGCCCTCAAAACAAGGACTGAGCTCAGGGATTTGAGCGCATCGCCGCATGAGCTCGTGCAAGGTGGCCATGGCAGCGCATCTGGTCTGAGGGAGCGGATGCCCCATGTTTTGGATCAGCTTCTCAGCCAGCTGTCTCCAGTTGCAATTGGCCTTGCCCGCGACTGTGACAAGACCAACGCACGCGGCTGCACGGATTTCTTCATGCGGGTCCTGCAGCGCTTGCATCAATGCGTGGCTTACCTCCGCGTCGTAGTCCGGCGAGACGTAAGGCAATGCCGCAACTGCCGAACTGCGCACGGTGCAATGCGGATCTGCAACCAAGGGAATCAAGACAGACTTCGCCTTCAGATGTGGACGATCCAAAGCTTGTAACACCTGTCGTAAGGCACTGGCTGCTGCAGACTTTATCCAGTGTCTTCGGCATTGGGCTTTCTCGGCGATGGCATCGGCGATGTTTTGCACCTCCTCGGCCTCCCCGTTTCGCGTCGCGTGGAGCGCGTAGCACCCGAAGGCGTCCGCCGCTGCCGCTTGAACTTGCTCATCCAGCTCCTCCAAGCACGCCAGCAAAAGCGGAGTCAGCTTGGTCGACATGAGCTGCACGGATCCAGACCTCGGTTGCTTTCTGCTTCCCTGCCACAAGCTTATTGTTTGGTGGTTTAGTGGAAAACCCATTAGTTGGCAAAAAGTTGAATTCCTAACATCCAAGCAAATTGCAACAAAGAAACAACGCCTGCACAGCCACCGCCTTGACCTTGCCGGACTTGTGCCGACACAAATCTTCCAGCTGCTGCAACGCATCTAGCTCCAGTGGAGACCAGGACAGCAAGGCATTCACTGCAGCCCGCCGAACTGTCGCAGACACGTCGCAAAGGGCCCCAATGGCCGCTGACACAAAGGTGGCGCAATGAAAGCCCGGCATCTCACCTGATCAAGGCATCTCGACTCAGGTACCTTCTATCAACTCCGTCCGACTGTCCATCAAATTTGTCCGTTTTCACTAACTCCGCTCTCTTGCAAAAAAAGCGTTTTGCGCGGCGAACGCCCAGCATCATCCTAGCATCATCAGTCTCAGTTGCACCAGCTTTGTAATCCGCGAGCAACATGCCACATCTTGTCGCTGATTTGGGGACAGCTGAGACTTGCTCGCGGATTCTGACTACGGTCTACGCTGACGCTGGCTTAGAGCTTACTCAGGCATTGGGTCCGTTGCGCCGGGCGCTGTTTTCCAGGTGCCTTGTGCTTTACTGCCACACACGTGGTTTGCCAGGCACTGCTCCAGTGTGAGTTGTTCCAAGGTGAGCCAGTCTTGATCCACGAATTGCCGAAGCCGGCCCCTACCTTGACTTCTGTCGAACCTGTCGAGAACGTTCGATTTCTTGTCGAGAAAAGTCCGTGTCTTGTTGGTAGATGCACTCTTCTTGTGATCGCAACCTTCTTGCCCTTGCTGGAGTTTTACACTCCACAATGTCAGCTGATTCCAAAACAGGGTACGGTAACCAACCGACCAACCAACCAGCCCAGCCAGCCAACCAACCCGCCAACCAACCAGCCAGCCAACAAACCAAGCAAAAAGCCAACCAAGCATCCAAGCAGCCAAGAAGCTAAGCCGCAAACAACAAACAAACGATCAACTAGCCAAACAAACAATCAACCACACATGCAACCAACCAACCAACCAAGCAAGCAAGCAAGCAAGCAAGCAAGCAAGCAAGCAACCAAGCAAGCAAGCAAGCAACCAAGCAACCAAGCAAGCAACCAAGCTTTCAAGCAATTAAGCAAGTAAGCAAGTAAGCAAGTAAGCGAGCGAGCGAGCAAGCAACCAACCATCCACACAGCCAAGCAACACACCAACAAACCCACCCAAAACCAAACCAATCCAGCCAGCCCACAGAGAACCCACAGACACGTACGCATAGACAGCTTTCGACTCGATATCGCCTGGCCGCGGCACCAGCTGTGCCAGGACCTGCAAGCTTTGCGTCCGGATCTCCGCCTAATCTCGATACGGGCGCCACAAAAACAGTGTTTGTGTTTTCCGGTTTTTTGAGAAGGCCCTACACAATTGAAGAGAACCCCCCAAAAAAACAAAAAACCTTGGTTGTTTTTTTCTCAAAAAACAACGGCAACATCCATGAACTGGTGCAAAGTTCCTTCATTTGCGAACATGTCCCCTAGGAAAAAAAAGCAACACAACAGACCAGAAAGGTGTCCTGGGAGGTTGGATTTTGGTAGGGGGGACCATTCTGTAGGACAGAAGTAGATTTTATTTTTCTATTCCTCCACAACCAAAGATAGACTCCCTAAGTTCCTCCATTTCGAGTAGCGATGGATTTGTTCAGGGCATCATAAAGAACCATGAGCGAGTAACAATTAGTTCACATGCCCAGCTACATCATAGGTACAGAAATCATGCAAACAAGGGATTTCAAGAATAGGTGGGAAATCCACAATTGGGGGGTCCATGTGCTAAGTGATTGCTACTCCAAAGCAAAGATCGCCTAAGGGATCCTACGGATTTGTCGCCCAGTCCCCTAACTTGCCAGCTTTAAGACCAACGAAAAGGAGGGGTCTGAAGAAAAAGCCTCAAGTTTGTCAAGGGGAGCCCGCAAAAGACAGTCCCGAAATGCGGATCGCTACTCAACAGAGTATCTTGCAGGAAAATTGGAAAATTATCAAAACACCTAGGTCATCTTTGGGAAGAACATCATACATTTGAGCCGGCCATCGTTTCAAACTTTGTCTTGGTGTCAATATTTGATTGGGTCGATATTAGATTCGGGGAGCCTCCTGTTCCGTCCGAAATCTTCAGCACCAACATGTCAGAGAACAACGTAACCTGTCTGAAGCAGGCCCCAAACCCTAACCCACACAATCAATTCAACTCATACAGCAAATGTGCTGAATATGTCAAGTAAGCCAACTGCATACCACCAAATTCCCTTCTTCCCTTGTAACATTTAGGGCAGCCGCCGCCCCCATTTAGGCAAAAACCAAAACCCCCAACAACGGTAGCTTCCCTTTTGGTTCCCTGTCAACCCCGGAGGAAAGGGCAAAAGCGGGCACAAGGCCCATAAGGCCCATTTCCACGCCGCTTGCCTCGTGGTCCCGAGACAAGTCGAGGGCCAAGTCCGCCACCCGCAGGCTGCCGCGGTGCTTCAGCCCGGCAACGCCCAGCGCCGCCTTCTTGCGCTTCGCAGCGCCGCGCCCGGATCTGAGACCTCAGGGCTGGGAACCGAGCAGCGCCAATCCAAGAAACCCCCGAAAGGGCTACTGGGGTGGGCCTATCTCAGGATAAGCCCAGGATGAGCCATGCATAAGCCATGGATAAGCCCTTGAGGCCTTAAGGGGTGAACAAAGGGTAGCCCCCCCCCCCCCCCAGTTCGCCCCCAAAAGGGGGGGGTCCATGGCCAGTACATTTGGGTGTGAATTTCAATGGGCCCCGGAATGCCCCGGATGGGCATCATTTAGGTGGGGATTCATGTCTTCATGCCCACCAACCACTTTTGAGGTGGTTGCCATCTGAGTATGTTTCAAAATAGGGGATCGCCCAAAAATGTTGGTTTTCCTTGTGGTTTTCCTTTACGCCAAGCAAAAAAGGAACCCTCGAGAAGCAAACAGACTCACGACTGCACAGACACTTATATCTACATATATATATATATTTCTTACTGGGACCTTTGGTCAAGTTGTGCGAGTGTGTGTGGTGTGTGTGTGTGTGTGTGTGTGTGTGTGTGTGTGTGTGTGTGTGTGTGTGTGTGTGTGTGTGTGTGTGTGTGTGTGTGTGTGTGTGTGTGTGTGTGTGTGTGTGTGTGTGTGTGTGTGTGTGTGTGTGTGTGTGTGTGTGTGTGTGTGTGTGTGTGTGTGTGTGTGTGTGTGTGTGTGTGTGTGTGTGTGTGTGTGTGTGTGTGTGTGTGTGTGTGTGTGTGTGTGTGTGTGTGTGTGTGTGTGTGTGTGTGTGTGTGTGTGTGTGTGTGTGTGTGTGTGTGTGTGTGTGTGTGTGTGTGTGTGTGTGTGTGTGTGTGTGTGTGTGTGTGTGTGTGTGTGTGTGTGTGTGTGTGTGTGTGTGTGTGTGTGTGTGTGTGTGTGTGTGTGTGTGTGTGTGTGTGTGTGTGTGTGTGTGTGTGTGTGTGTGTGTGTGTGTGTGTGTGTGTGTGTGTGTGTGTGTGTGTGTGTGTGTGTGTGTGTGTGTGTGTGTGTGTGTGTGTGTGTGTGTGTGTGTGTGTGTGTGTGTGTGTGTGTGTGTGTGTGTGTGTGTGTGTGTGTGTGTGTGTGTGTGTGTGTGTGTGTGTGTGTGTGTGTGTGTGTGTGTGTGTGTGTGTGTGTGTGTGTGTCTTACCCACTGTGTAAAGGAAGTGCTGTCAAGTCCGGATTCCGAAACTGTTGCAACTGGGGAATGTGGTGAGAAGCGTCGCCTCTTTGAACTTCACCCCCTGTTCAAAATGGAACTGCACTGTTTTGGAAGACCAGCTTCACAAGGCCTATTCACTTCTACGATTGTTGGAAGGAGGGTAAAAGGCCCCCGACTTTTCAGATCCAGGACACCCATGAGGGCTTTTTTCAGGGGCCCTCCGGCACCTCGCTGCACCTCCTGCACCTCCGCTCCGGCTGCGGCCTCTGCCCTCACCGCCACGGCGCGCAGGAAGTCCATGGGCACCGACAGCTGCGTGGCGAGCTGGGCGAAGGCCCAGCCCCGCAAGCCCAGCGTGGGGCACAGGGCGACCAGCTCCAGCGCCTCGCTGTCCGTCAGAGACCCCCCACTGCTCGTCTTTGGGTCGACTTCGCACTGACTCCCCGTCTGACTCGTCGTTGGGTCGACTTCGCGGTGGAAATCGGATCCGCCTCGGAGGAAGTCCCGCACCTCCCAGTGGCTGCCGGTGGCGTTCAGTGCGCCGGCCAGGGCGCGCACCGCGGCCTCCACGCCGCAGCGCACGTCCAAAAAGTCCGCGGCGCGCAAAAACTCCGCGGCCGCGGCGCCGGGCCACGGCGGTTGCGCGCCCTCCGCGACGAAGGCCGACAGCAGGGCCAGGCCCTGCGCGGTGAGCCCGGCGGAGGCTGGCACCTGGAAGGCGCAATCAAACCCCGGAAGTAAAATGGTCGTAACCCCAGAACCATGCTTCAAGAAAGAAGAAGGCGGATATCCGCAGCTATTTCTGGTTGGGACTGCCCCTTACCAACCTTCATCTACCCGAATCGGTTTTGATTGTGGCTCACCTGGAAATCACCCAGCAAGCCCTCCAGCGAGGAGAGCATGGGGGACACGGCCAAGATCGAGGAAGGCAAGGGCGCAGCCGAGCCATCTGGCAAAATCACCAGAAAGGAGTCGCACGCCATCTGGAATAGAGTGCCGCATCGGCCTGAAATTTCTCTGTTGATCTGACGTCTGCGCTCATGGAACTTGATGGCATAATTTGTTCAAGCGCTTGCACCAAAGTAGGCGGACATCACAATTAGGTGATAATTCATGTCCACCGCTTCAGCTCGGATGCTGCGACTCTTTCATTTCATAGCAATTTAGTTCGACGCCAAGCCCTTCTCGTCTAAAAGCGTGGCTGCACAGCTGCGAGAAGGGCCACGTACGAGCAGCGCCCAATGACTCTTGGTTCTACTAAAATGGCTACGAAAGGTTTATATTCTATCGTCCAGTAGAACCACTTAGTAACCTGGTCAGCTGGGGGTTGGGGCTCACACAACGTGTCACGTGTCACTCAAAGCGCGTGGCCTCAACCTTCAACTTGGCGTTGGTTGCAATCTCATCAGCGGCCTAGGGACCCCTTTGCAACGAACAGATTAGAGCTCAAACGCCGGGCTCTTCCAACACTTTCTAAATTTGAGGCATGCAGCTGGTGTCTTCGCTGCTTGCTCTTGCAAGCGCGAACATTCCAGTGTCCTGGCGTTTCGCGTCAAGGTACTCAGCGTGGCAGAAAGGAACATCAAATGGCCATGGGTCAAAATCCGAATCGTCCCCCAGTGAACATCCCAATCCCCACTAAAATAGGCTCTAAAATGGGTGGTGAATTCACCTACCAACAAAAATGGGATCAATCACAACGGTTTTGACCACGGCCAAATCACTCCAAGTTCTTATGCTCCTCGTCTCCAGGCTGGCCCTCAAGCTGTCTGCGTCGGCTTTGGCCTGCCGGCGGGCCGTGAGTGAAACAGGGGAGAACCGACCAGCGAAAGGGGACTCTCGGCTACATGCCGCACATGGCCCGCAATCACAAATGTTTGTTCTCTTCTTGCCCTGCCTTTTCTTTCCGGTTCCAAGGTTAGGCGCAGTTTACTGCGTGTCACAGTAGTTTTTCGAGCAAATCCCGGCGCATTCTGGGCACGTCATACCAGATCCAGCAACACCACCAGCATCGCCATCAACATCAACATCACTAGCACCACTGGAAGCAGCACTTGCCGAGCTTTTGGCTTGAGCTTGCAGTGGCTTAGAGCTGGTATGGGTTCGAGTGGGTCCAACATCATTCAGGGCAGGCCATGTTTTTGTCACAACACGTGTACGGGTGTAGGGTGAGCTTGGGTGAGCGCTCCAGCAAAAATGGGGGGAGGTGCAGCCCCCCCCCAAAGACAACTCAATCAGGACACCAATAAAAAAATTGCGCGTGACAGCACCCTGACTCTGAGATCTCTCTCTCTCTCTCGCGCAAAATGGGCACAACAGCCATATATCAAAAAACCAAAAAAACATGTAAAAGCAACGTTAAGGACCCCAATCCAAAACGAAGCGGTGCATTGCACACGTTGCTGGTGATGCTAGTGGTGCTGATGGCAAGTTTTTTCTCACGGAGCCAACGCGCAAAGGAACGAGTGGCATGGGCACCCAACAGCTGCCTGCTCCAACTGGTCTTTAAGGGTCCTGCGTAGGAAAACTGAGGGCACACAAACGCAGTGCCGCTCGAAAGCGTGTCCTGATCTCATCAGCCCAGACTTGGCTCTCCTGGCAGAGCATGTGCTCACCATGACAATCTGGAGCAACATGTTCACTCCTGCGCAGCCGTCAGCTGCTTTTTGAGATCTTCAATCTCTGCCTGACGCCCCACACATGTGCGTCTTCTTCTGAGGCCACCCTTTTATTTTTTTTTGTCGTTGGTTTCCAGGGGGGAATTGCAGGGAAACCACAAACCACCCATTCCGAGGGTCCCCTTTTTTGAGACCCACCCAAGGCGCGCTTTTTGGCGCGCAAGCACACGACCGCGATCCGCTCCAGCAGGCCGGGAACGCAGCTCAGTTGCTGCGAGCGTCTCGTTTGACTTTTGGTTGCCGTCCAAGGCGATTTACACGCTGCTACAACCTTAGATGCTAAGCCCGAAATGCTGCGCTGTACTAAAGTTCATGCGCAGAGGCTTGCCAGCAATGGCTTGTACAACCTTAAATGCTGAACTCAAGATTGATGGGTTTGCCGGGAATAGCTTGCACGGAACTAATGGTTCGCGGGGCTGTTGCTCGCAATTGGGGGACAAATCCACTGGCATGGCAACAGCGTGTAGAAGCCTAAATGTTGAGTTCCGCGCAGAGGGTTTTGCTGGCAATAGTTTCCGCAATAATTGCAACCAATGGCTGACAAAGCCATGTTGCCGACAATACTGAGCTCAACATTTAGGGGTTTGCCCCTAAAAGCTTGCAAACGGGTTGCCAGCAGTGACTGGCAAAGCCAGGCATTTCAGAGCTTGCCAGCCATTTTCAGCAGCACTCGTGGCAAGCTACCGGCAAAGCCCTCCACCGCTGAACTCGACATTTAAGTTTTGATGCTCAAACCTTACGGTTTTGCTGGCAAAAAAGAGGACCTGTTAGCAATGGCTGAGGCTAAGCTGATAAACTGGCCAGCTTCATGTTGAGTCGAGCCAACAAGTGCTTTCCCGAACATGTTTTGCCTTGCCTCCAAATGGGGTAACTATAATCAACCAACCGAGTTGATGCATCAGAAAGTTCCATTTGGGGTTTCGAATCTCCATCGTGCCTGAGCTTGTTGGTACACATCTTTGCCCTTTGAAAGCTCATCCTGCAGCCGGCCCCGCTCCTCGCATGGCCAACCTTCACGAATGAGTTGATTCGATTGGCCTCTTTTGAAAGGACAGAATGGATATAATGATTTTAATGGGGACCCCTTTAGTGGACATTTAGGTTAAGATTCACCCACTTCCATGGTTCCCCTATAAAGCCCATAGCATGAAGAGAATGACTTGTAAGGATCCCTCGTGTCGACACATAAGATTTCAATGTACCCGAATTAAGGGCCCATTCCATTGCCCGTGTCCTGCACTTGCCCCAAAACGGGGCTTTCCCTCGTTTGAGACACGCACGGGAGGCATGCACGGACCGCCCGAAAAACGCCGTCCTCTTCTGCCGACTGGCGCTGTTTGTCCAGAAGAGCCTGCCGAACAGCCGGTAACAACCAGCGAACCTTGTGGCTGTGTGTTCTTTGAGGACCCGTTTGTTGGTGGTTTTGAAGGGAATCCAAGAGGAAAACCACATTTTTTGGGGGGGTCCCCTACAAAAGCTTGTTGGGCCAAACTAAGGGGAACAGCTTACAGCTCAGAAAGGGATGGGGATTCCATTCATTCGACGAGGCCACGAATTAATGGCCGACTTTGCTACAAAGCCAATTGCAAGTACGCCAGCGTAAAAGCCGCTCTGCTGTAGGCAAGCATTCTGAGAAAAGGCCCTTCCAAAATAAACACAGTCGCGACCAACGATAACGGCCACTGGCATACAAAACATATGATGTGTTTGTTAACCATTGAAAACACGCGCGGGATTGGCAACACGCTGCCTTTGTCAAAGGTTCTGTGTGTGTCTTACCGGCCGCAGCAGGTATGGGCCTTTAAGAAATGTCATTGTTGTGAAGGGTCTGGCTGCTAGATCTCCAATTGCGTTTCGCCAAGTATTCAATCCACCTATTTAAGAATATGTTGCTTCAGGCCAACATTCGAAAAAAGACCTCCCCCCAATTTAATTGATCCTACTAAACCAGTACACTCTTATTAGATCTTTTTGGGGGGTTACTTTCAGCGCTTCCCTGCTTTCGATTGCAAGCTCAAACTGTAAATGGTAATTGTAACTTTGTCTTTTGAAATTGAATTGACAAACTAATAAAGTGCATTGAGCGGTTTCATATACCTTCCTTACTCGGCAAATTACCGCGGCAAAGGGGGGGACCAAGCCGTAAAGCCCCAGGACACTATCACTACACACGTTTTCCCCAAACACAAATTCATAAATTGGGGGGGGGGGGGGGCGGACGGGATTTAATAATAGGGAAAAGCGACTCCTGCGTGACGGAAAGCAGAGGAGTCGTGCAACACACCAACACACACACACAAAAGAAAAACACACAACACGATATAGTACGCCAAGAGCACAGCACTTAACTCTGTCTGAGTCCCAATCACCCCCATGAATTACTGCATTTGCAACTTGATTTTAGCCGCGGGGCTAAGCATATACGGTCCAAAGACAAGACTTGCGCTTGCCGATCTTTCTGCAAAGCAGCAAGCCATCCTCATAGGCGACATGGATTCGTCACATGATTTCAGATTGCGCAGCAAATGACGGTGCACGGCGCCTGCACACGCTTCATCTCTTGCGCTGATGCTGCTGCCTGAACTCAAAAGGTTGAAGCCAAGCATTGCTGGCGGCATGGTGGCGTGCGACTGCCTCCTCTTTGTTGGCTTCGCACAAGTCGCGCTCTTCTGCCACTTTCGCCTGCAGCAAATCTGTCTCTAGCAGCCAACCAGCCGACCGACTTCCACTTGCATCCCTGCCTTCAGAGTGGTCAGCTCGTGGGCAGCTTCTTCGTAACCAGCTGTTGCTTTGGCAGACGACCTGTGCACATTGTCCTTGTGCTGTCACTACAATAGCTGGCAGGCCTTTGCTCCTCCTCCAATTGGGTCTTCAGCTTTTGCAGCCTTGGATGATTGAAGGCTGAACCCTTGGAGGTGGTTGCCGCCGAGATGCCGGCTCTTCGACACTTGCGCACCTTTCTGTTGCCTGACAACTTGCTGCGCGAGTTGGGTGTGCCCCAAAAAATGGCCCAAAAAGAGGGGCCTCGATTCGGCGAGTTGGATTCCCCTTGCCACTGTGCAGCAATTGAGCCCAAGACAATCGAGCGTCGTACTTCTTCGAGCTCCCGAACCCTGGCCACAGACAAATTGAATGGTTCAAGATGCATCTAGGTGGCAATCTGAAATTTGGACACTGGAAATGGCTCTTTCTCAAAATGTTGGTGCTCCTTTAGGTGGTAAACGTCCTTTTGGTTTCCTTTCCAACACGTCCAAGAAGCGTACCCCCCGATGAGAAAGCCCAACTCCTTGGCTTCCTTAGGCCACAGACCTCTCATCCAGCTCGCGTCTCAGCTCCTCGATTTGCGCCGCGTTGCCAGACGCCTCGCAGCGACAAACGTGGAGAGCGCCAGTTGTGTCATAATCCAAACCCGGTATCAAAATGGTCGTAATCCCAGAACCATGCCTCAAGACTTAAGGAGGCGGATATCCGCAGCTATTCATGGTTGGGATTCTCCCTTTCCAACCTTCCTTTACCCGAATCGGTTTGAGCAAGCGGATTTGCGTCAACGGCAAGCCTTGGCCAGGTCGGACTGGGACTCGGAGAGCTTCGTCTGGAGCTTGTTGCTCGCCTAGCTAACGGAGCCGCAGGCAGCTCAAAGGCCCATGGCTTCAGACGCCTCGACCTCACTCATCAGCGAGGCCTCGAGGGAGGCGACCTTTGCTCTGGATCGCTCCAGATCCTAAGGAGCTCACAAGTGGCATGCGTATGGGTGGCCGTGGCAACATTGGCACCCACCATTTTTGACCCCTGAACAGAACAAACCAAGGACTATGGGCATTCTGCGAATGGTATGGGTCAAAATGTAACCACCAGGGACCGCAGGTTTTAGTCGTGGGTTCAGTTTGCCAGGGTAACCCATTTTCGGTACGCATTTTTGACCCACTGCCATGTGTGGCCGTGGCTCAAAAAAATGGCACCCACAACTGTTGACCCCTGGTGCGTGGAACGAACCAAGGACGAAAACCTGCGGCGCATATCCTGGTTTAATTTTGACCCACACCCAATGTGTGGCAAGGTTGCAGTCCTGTTGGCTCTGGGTTAGCTTCTCTTGCAGCACGTTGGCCTCAGCAATTTCGAATGGATTGGATCACATGCTACACAGTTGGATGAGTGAACAACCACATTTTTTGTTCGTAAGTTCTTTCTTTTTATCGCATGGCATTTTCTATGTTTATTGCATGGTAAACGAGTATAATTTTATATTCTTAAATCACATGGTAAACTAGTGAAACAAAAAACCCACCGGATGGCTTGGTCCTTCATGAGACTCTCTCCGCCTGGTCGGCCACCTCAAGCTGTTGATTGGCGCTCTTCGCCTGCAAGGCAACTAGCGAACTAGCGACTGGCGACCGGCGAGCGGCGAGCGAATCGGGGCTCAAAGCGCCGTCTCCTCCAGTTGCTTCTCCAAATCTCCGCACTGCTCCTTCTTGGCCTGCACATGGGCAGGGTCATTCTTTAGGAATCGGAGCCCTCCAAAGTGGAGGCTGTCTCCTCTAGTTTCCCTTTGGAAACCACCAAAAGCATGGGGCAACCCCAACCCCCCCCAAAAAAAAACACACACACACACACACCACCACAACATGGGGGCCCGGTTCCCCCCCCCAACAGAAAGAGAGCCGGCCGCTTCTCAGCCTCTGCAGCCCTGCCCCACGCGCCTGGAGCTCTTTGGACAGCGCCTCGATGTCCGCCGTCGCTGTCCGAAGTCGCTGCCTCGAGGCGCGCAGGCGGGTTTTTTCGTCACACCAAACCCGCGCAGGCCGGTTGTCAAATGAAATGGCTGTGGTGGTCAAAAATCGTTGGCAACCCCAAACTGGAAACCCTGGATGGGAACATTGACTCAAATCTGCGGTTTTTCTGGTGGTTTCATTTTGACCCATACCCAAATGAGCGGAAAGGGCCTGTACCTCTCATGTCAATATGTCAGGCTCTGAAAAGCATCGGTCTGTACCTATATTAATGTAAGCACCTGTACACAACCTCACACTAGTCGACAATTGAAATCAAGGCAGCAGTCTGAGGTGAGCGCATTTCCTCCTCCAACTTCGCCACGCGGTCGACGTTCGCCGCCGCCCCTGCCTCGCACTTTCAGCGATGCGGTTTCCCTTCGGTTTCCATGCGAGCCATCTGTGAATCTGCACAAAGCACTTGAGTCTCGCCGACTTCAAACGGCTTTTTTTTGAATGAACATGAACTTCCAGCAACATCTGGCTCAAGTCCCACATGATGGACTTGAGGGTAGCAGTCAGGCCTTCATCCTGTCGATGTCCTCATTCTTAGCTTGAAGCTGCGCCTGACAAAAAAATATCTAGGCCAGCAAACCAGCCATCTGATGCACACCATCCGCTTCACGCCATTAGATCCCGACTACTTGTACCTGAAGGCGGGGGGTTGGCCCCAATGCCCTTCCAGTATTCCCCATAAAAAAAGAACATGCCACCTGAACGGAGATCTCCGGTCACCCCTCAGCGCCTCTTCCATTGCTTAAGCTGGGGGCATAGTGTTCTCAGTTGCTCAAAGGACCTGGAACTGAAAGGTCACCCTTTTGGCCATGACTAAATATGGACCAAAATGGGACAACCAAAAGGTCAGATCCGGTCGGCTTTTTTCACCACCGCGTGTTTCCGGTGCTAGTTGAAATATCCCCGGCCTTGAGGCTCTCGGCCTCCTTCACCTCCTTTCTCGCGCTGATCTGGCCGAAAGGCCGCTGAAGCCCGAGGACACCCAGGTTTCATGGGGAAGACCAGAATGGGTTCGCCCAGAATTTGGGGCCCCCCGCATGCGAATTGTTTGGCTGAAACGAGACAATGACCAAAGCTATGCTTGTGTATCGGCCTCTTTTCGCGCTGCTTTGAGATCCTGGGCAGCACATTCGAGGCCCTGAGGGCGAGGCTTGGACTGGCCTCCTCCAACCTGGCAACCCTTTCGTCGTATGCCTCGGCATGGTCAAAGCTCCGTTCTTTGGGCCGATTGGGTCAGGGTTCCCGGAACAGGAATCGTTGTAGTGGTTTGGGATTCGTACTGCCCGGCGCATGACCTTCCTGTTAACCCCAAGTAAAAGGGCTCATGGCGACCCCCTCCTGGATGTGTCAAACTCGGCACCCCCAGTGATGCCATCAGATTTAGGTGCCCAAACTCGGGACATCTTAGTCCATCTGGAAGATCCACACCCACAACTTGGACGAGGTCCTTTTGGCTTCCAGTTCCCATGTCTTGTCAGTGGCTGTCCCCTGCCCCAAAGCCCATGTGGGTCTCGATCTATTTTTTGGGGGAACTTCTCCATGGCTTCGGTTCTTCTAAGCCTCTAAACGAACGAAAGAACAGAACAGAACAGAACAGAAAGGCAGAAGGACGGTAGCCTTTTTGAGGAAGACACAGCCATGTTCGACTCTCTGAGGCATCCCACGGAGCACTTCCTCGTCACGCTCGCTGCCTCACTCCTGCATCTCTCTGCCTCCGCCTCGAGTTGGCCAAGCCCAGGCTTTTGTTTTCTGAGGCGGAGCCGCCGACATAAGTCGATGCATAAATCCCCCATGATGTCCAGAGAAACCCAAGCAAATCCGCCCATAGGCCCCCAAATGGCCGTGGCTCAAAAAACCGGTACCAAAATGGGCTGCCCTGGTAAGTGGAAACATGGACCAAAACCTGCGTAACCCTAGCTCTTTAATTTTGAGCCACTGCCAAATTACAAAAGGATGGTTCTTATGGGAACAGTTTCGGGAACACCCAGACCCGAATCGATTTCGGAACCAACCAAGTTCAGGAAACTCTTCTCGCTGGGCCACCCCCTCGACCCGAGCAATGCTCCAAGGCAACTGTTGACCATTGCACCCATCTGGACCATAGATTCCAATCCTGACCACCCTGGACCCACACTCACGACTAAACCCCTACATGGGTATGGGTCAAAATTAAACCAACAGGAATTGGACCGCGGGTTTTAGTCCATGTTTCCATTTGCCAGGGATCCATTTTGGGGTTACCCTGTTTTTGACAACCACAGCCACATCAACTCCAACCCTAAGCCTGCTGGCCAAAAGCTCGCACCTGCGCCTCGCTCAGCTTGCCTCGCATCTCCTCCTGAGTGGCTTGCAAAGGAGCTCAATAAGTTCAGGGTCGTGGGATCACTCGGGGTTTATTCCCACTTCGATACAAGGGAATCTCCCCCTTCTGGAGGGGTAGTCTTTGGGAAGCCCTTTCTGTCGCAGAAATGGTGATTTCCCACAGCCCTGAATAAGTTGAGTTCCACAAGGTCATGCCCCTGCTCCGAAACTATCAAGGGGGACCGTTAGGATTGCACCACAGGTTTCGGTAATGCGAAATCCAGGTGCCTCCAAACCCGACTCTGCGCGCCTCCGATTGAAGTAACTTTTCGAGGTCCTCCTTTGTCTTCTTCTTCTTGGACGCGAGCTCTTGCTGCAATCGTGCCTGGGAAATCATATGGGGGTCCCATATGTTTCGTGACAACCAAAGGCAACGAAACGCGGCATGTATCTTGCAGCAACAACCTGGCAGACCAAGAGCCTGCAAAAATCTAGTCTGCCAGGCTACCCGTTCTTCCCGCACTTGCTTCTCATGCTTTTCCTGACGATCTCAAACTTATGTCACTTGCGCATCCAGATTCCGGACCCCTGATGGGGGTGTGGGATTCGCTTCGGAACGCCTGGAGCTCAGAAAAGGTTCGGTCTTTTTCCTCAGTCCAAAGGAAAGAAGTCCCAAAACGGCACCGATTCTTCAGCAGAAGTAAGACACCCGCCAGCTCAAACTCATCTTGTAGCTCCCGGCGATGCCTAAGACCAACTCTCTCACGGTGTCACCTTGCGGCTGAGCCAGCCGCTTCGCTAGCTTCGCTTTGTGCTCCGCCTCACAGCTTCGCTTTGTGCCCAGTGTCAATGAATCAAGCGAGCGCTGTGAGCCAGAAACAGCCCGCGTCAGTCCTGAATGGCAGCAACGCTCTTCTCGTGTTGCTCCTCCAGCCTGCGCTGCGCAAGTCCGATCTCGCCTTGAGTTGTTTCTTAACAAAGCTGGACATGAAATCGCGCGCTGTCACTCCTGCTTCTCTCCTCTTGCAAGCCTTGGACATCATTCCTACCACTTCTGCCACTCTCTTTCAGTTTCCTTCCAATTGGTTTGGATTGGTGGGGTTTTGCAAATGGGTGGTTTCCCATTTACCCGGATGAACCAGCGATCCAAATCAAGCCAATCCAAATCAAAAGGGTCCCCTGACTCTTGGGATGTGCCATGAGCGCAAGGCACATGGATGTCTCATGCTCAGAGGTGGCCGCGGCTGAATCAGAAGCTCAGTTCCCAGTTGCAAGAAAACAATCCTGTGATCCTTCGGGCCTTGCATTTGGGCCTCATCCCCTTTGGGCATCTGACAGTCAAACAGTAGGCAAAAAGCAAGCAGAAAGCCTGAAGCAAGCAGAAAGCTAGAATTCAAGCACGCAACAAGCAAGCACACCTGGGTGCAAGAAGCAGGCAGAAATCATGGCAAAATGCATAAAGGTAGAAACGGAAGCATACGAAGGAACAGAAAACAAGCGGATCAGCGGCAAGCAAGCAAACAGAAAATTGCAACAGAACACAAGCAAATCTTGCATATACAGCAAGCAGCGGGTAGAAGGCGGGCAGAAAAACACTAGCAACAAGCAAAGCCGAATGCAGGCAAGGCCTTGGCAGAGGGCGGGCGGCAAACACAGCAAACGGCAGAGGAACATCGAAGAACAGGGTATAGCTTGCAGCTCTTGCACAGAACATGATTTTCATGCTGAGGTCCCCGCTTGCGCTGGAGCTTCTGGGCTCTGCTACGGAAGGCCTTGGTTTTGGCGTGAACATCTCGCGAAATTCTATTGGCCACAAAGCTCAGTTGGTAGATCTCAAGAGGGATGCAATCTTCAAACACGTTTTTGATGCTTCGTCGTTGGTTGAGTCCACAGCAGTCCTTGCAACGGGGTGATGGACCCAACTCGCGCTCACCCCCAGCTCCTTGGCTCCCTTCCCACCGGTCTGGGTCCAAGACGGCTCACCACTCGGAGGCGGTGGCAAGCCCGCTGCCGGCTTGGGCCTCAAAGCTTGGACATGAGACGTGGTCGTACCCAGCACCGAGCGGCTGGCGGCCCTTCTTGATCTCTGTTCACTTGTCTAGGTGCCTCAAGGCCGTGGAGAATGTGGACACTCGCGAACTCCCTACTCTCCAGGCTTGCCTTTAGTTGCGCGTTGAACCAACCAGGAAAGCGCATCTTATAGCGCAAACACACACACACACACACACACACACACACACACACACACACACACACGCACACACACGCACACAGACGCAAAAACACACGGACAACAGGCACACACGCACACGAACAACAGGCACACAAACACACAAACACACAAACACCAACACCAACACCAACACAAGCACAAGCACACAAGCGCACAAGCGCACAAGCACACAAGCACACAAGCACACAAGCACATAAGCACACAAGCACACAAGCACACAAACACACAAACACACAAACACACAAACAGACAACCACACAACCACACAACCACACAACCACACAACCACACAACCACACAACCACACAACCACACAACCACACAACCACACAACAACACAACCACACAACCACACAACCACACAACCACACAAACACACAAGCACACAAACACACATACACACAAACACACACACACACACACAAACACACACACACACACAAACACACACAAACACACAAACACACAAACACACAAACACACAAACACACAAAAACACAAACACACAAAAACACAAACAAAAACACAAACACAAACACAAACACAAACACACACACAAACACACAAACACACACAAACACACACAAACACACACAAACACACACACAACCACACACACAAACACACACAAACACACACAAACACACAAACAGACACACACACAAACACACAAACGCACAAACGCACAAACGCACAAACGCACAAACGCACAAACACACAAACACACAAACACACAAACACACAAACACACAAACACACAAACACACAAACACACAAACACACAAACACACAAACACACAAACACACAAACACACAAACACACAAACACACAAACACACAAACACACAAACACACAAACACACAAACACACAAACACACAAACACACAAACACACAAACACACAAACACACAAACACACAAACACACAAACACACAACACAAACACACAAACACACACACACACACACAGACACACAGACAGACAGACGCACAGACACAGACAAAACAGACAAACAGACAACAACACAACCACACACACACACACACAAACGCACACGTAGCCCAAATTCAAGTCACTTCCTTTCCGCCTCGTTTTGCTCGGCATCCTCACTGAGGATGGACTGCGAGGGATCCCTGCGGCCACGTGGTTTTGGCTCACTTGGCTGATTCGGGGCCACACCTGGAAGACATCTTCGACTCAGATGACGGGAGGCTCGCCGCCTCAATTCCATGGGCCACCTCCGCTGCCTCCAGCTTGGGGCCTTTCGGACACGTGCAAAGAAATCGGGGCCTTTCGGGCCAGGCTGCCAGCCTGCAGCCCTGGCACTTAAAGGCGCAAGTGTCTTTGGCGCCTTGGGCAAACCGGTCTTGGACCAAGGTGACCAGCTTCGTCGCGCCTCTAACTTGGCTTCGTCTTTCTTGGGCTTTTTGTCTTTCTTGTCCTGGCAAGCTTCATCCCTCTCAGACCAACGAGAATCTCAGCACCGTGCAAGGCTGAAAAGGGTCTAGCTGTCGAAAGCCGTTCAAGGCTATGCGTCCGCACAAAGTTCGCAACACGAGCTCTCTCTCTCTCTCTCTGTGGCAGGAAGGCACGCTGGTAGGCGTGTGTGTGCGTGAGTGCGTGCGAGTCTGTCAGTGTGACGGTGTGACACTCACACTGCATGCGCTCTATGCCAGCTGTGGCCTTCTTCTTTTTCTTCTTGGCATCTCCATCGCCTAAAAAGGTGCGAGGCATGAGACATGCACATCGCAGCTTCCGACCCAAAGAGTTGCCAGCCAGGAAGACCCAAGGCACTTGAGGCGAAAAACCTGTCCTAACCTTGATTTGACATGCCCACGTGCCCTCTCTGGACTGAGAGCATGCCCAGCATTCCACTACCTTTACACATTCGCTGCCGTGCGAATAGTCTTACATTGGCGCGCCAGAAAAACCAACGGTGATAGCACGTCATGAACCCCGACAACATACATGCAGGAATGTTGTGGTTCAAAAACTGCGAATGTAACAACTGGGCTCCTTACGTTGCATGGTTTTTCAAGCACAACCGCACACCACATCTCAAGAGGCTAGACGCATTCCCACGACTCACGTAGATGGGTCTAAGCTTAGGATGCCACTGCCCATGCTGCCGCTTTCATCAAGCGCGTCACCTGGACACAGAAACTCGAGCCGGTTTTTGCAACTTGGATGGGGCTTGGCACATGGCACGCTTGCCGGCAGAACGCGAAGCACCAGGTTGAGAAGATGAGTACTGAGAGGCTCTTTTCAAAGATGCGCACTTCAGGCGTGATTTCCCGCCCACTAGCTATTCAAGGCGTTGACCTCAGGTCCGTTGCCATCTAGGTACATTATCAGCACGGACGTCCGGCGGAAGTCCGCGCGCCGAAATCCTGGAGCTTGCCTTTGGCGGAAACGTGGGGGAGGGGGGGAGGAGGGGGGGGGGTCTGTGGGGAGGGGTGGGGGTCTGTGGGGAGGGGTGGGGGTTCACTTCTCGTCCCTGATCCAAGTCCGATGGATGGTCAGGCCGCCAGCACGATGCTGGCAGGCTTCCATGGCCGTGCCTGGAGGGCATCTTGCTGCCGCTTCAAGGTGCCGTGGTGGGGGTTGCCTCGCCCGAAACTCCGCTCCTTGCCAGTCGGGCCTTCGCGTGGCGACTCGGGCTCGCTGAAATGCACAAATTTGGCCGGCGTCGTGTGAAATAGGCTTTCCTTCGATGCCTCCTGCTCTGACGGCGAGACCCTCTGGGTCTTGTTTGCTGGGCTGTGGCTGTCACAATCTCCGGCGGCCTGTGCCGAGGCATGCACTTGCCGGCAAAGCGTGGCCAAAGTGCTTGCAAAAACGTCTCGCTCGGCTGGAGCAAAAAAAACACAGCACACCGAGAAAGAATCGCAGAGGATCGCTGCAGTTCGCAGTGTTTGCGATCGGCCCATGGAAGTAAAAGCGCCAAAGCCAATCAAAGACTTGGTGTCTTGTGTCCGTATGTCTTGCACCTGAGTAAGTTGGATCTCGTGCAGCAACTTTACTCTGCATCGATTGCTCCCCTCCCAACAAAACAACCTTTGGATAGACCTGTCTAGCACCATTGTGCACTGCAACTCCCCAGAGTCTGTCTGGAGTGTCACAGGATAACCCTGCAAAAGGGACTTCACCAGGGTCTTAACCTCTGAATCCTTGGCTCCATGCGCATCTAAAGCGGAAAGGAACTCTTTGGCTGCTTCCCGCTGACCGGCGCTAAGTCCCAGATCTCCTAGCGCAGCGTCCAGCTCCTCCGGTGCCAGGCCCCTGAAATCTGAGGCGTCCAAACCTTCGGCCGCGAGGACTTCGGCGAAACGGTCCTTGGACACCTCGGTGGCGAAATCTGCGAAGCCCTGCTAAAAGCTTCCCACTTTTAGTGGTTTAATACGGAACACCCAGTAGTTGGCAAAAAAAACAAGTCCTAACGTCCCTGGTCAAAATGCGCCAAAGAAACCACCTCCACCGCGTTGATGGCGACTTTGTCAACTGCAGCTTCTGCCGCGCAGCACCCACTGCCCATCACTGAAAACGGCCCCCTGCAATTCCTGTAGCTCTCGGTCGCTAATCGAACGGGCAGGGCCGGGGTGCGCCATATGCTCGAGCCGTGCCTGCAAACAGCAAGGCAAACAAGTATGTTGGCCAAGATCACCGTTGTCTTTCTGGCAAACATGGGCGGCAATGGCAGCTCATTACATGTTGTGCGTGGTCGTTTTCTGTCGGTGTGTTTGGCCTAAACCAGAGTTCTGGAGGGGCAATACTGAGTGAACTTGCCATGGAAGCGCGAGCTTCGGACGATTTCAATTAAACCACAGCCAGAGGTGACATGAGCTGTTGGGTTTTCACGGGGAACAACTCGAACAAATGCAGCAACTCCCCCAAACAAAAACAAAAAACGCGCAAGGACGCCCTCCCCACCGGTTGCCCGTCCGAGTGTCTACTGACGTCTGGGGCCCCGTCCCTCGCTTTTCGTTGAAAGTCCCAGGCCTGAGAGGTCTCTCAGCGGAAGTTGCCGTAGGGTTCCGCCCCCGTTTTTGGACGGGAAACCCAAAGGAACGTTGGGAATTCGTCCCGAACGCATCCAGTTTTCTGGATGGGAAACCGATTCAATCATTTCGTGGAATGGGCTTCCTTGCTGATCTGTGAGTTTTCATGCACCTCTTGGGTCCCTGCGTTCCGCAACTGTATCCAGTTCGGCCTAAGCAATTCGTTCGGCTCTCCTCTCCAACGAAGTCGGCATCTCACGCCTCATCAAACTCCAGGCCAAGCCTCAGTGCGCGAATGTCGACTCGCGAAGGAGAAGTCCTCGGACCCCGGCCGAACCTTTTTGCTTGACCCACCCCCTCCTTTTCCGGCGCCCCCTTTCGGTCAGCAAGCTCATGCCCGACTTCCTGGCCACGCGCATCTTTTCCGGCGAACAGGCGATCAACTGGAGCTGGAGCTGGAGCTGGAGCAGCCTTTGTACCTGGAACCGGATCGAAGCCTAGCAACTTCATCGCTCTCAGTGCCCATTGCGGGCTACGTGCCAAACCTTCCGCTTTTTTCGAGCGCCGAAGCCAAAGTTCAACCACTCATTGCCGGCTATGCTAAAAGGCGCCCTGCCTTTCAGGGGGCTGTCCATTTCCGGGCCGGTGCCTTGAACCAACCCGACCTCAACGTCTCTCACATCTTGAAATGACCAACGAGAACTTCAGGCACAGCGGGGGCCTAAACAACCCTCCGACGTCTCGCCCGGCGCACTTCTTCATTTTCTTGTCCTTCTTGTGCTTTTTGTCCTGTGAGCCGTGCTGACTTGCCGTGAAAGCTGATCTCGCTGACACGAGAATTACGGCGGCCCGCTTTGCTGTGTCTCTAAATATTAAGAACCTCAAACACTCCCAAACTGGACGATGTCCTTTTGGTTCCCCTAAAACATCCCAACAAGCAAGCACCCTCAAACC